TGCAATAGATGATGTTTTAGAAGAAAGAAAACACACAACTAGGACAAATAAATAGAAAGATTAACAGTTATTTTACTCATATGATGTCAAATTCGTCATAATTATACTAACTCACAACAAAACTAAATAAAATTATGTACATATAAGCAGATTTAACTCCATCACTAAAACTTAAGAAACTTAAAGTAATAAAAAAAAAGTATACTAACTAATACCAAAATACACAAAAAGAATATGGATTAATAGTTGTATTTTCCTTCAATTTTATAATATATATTGACATTGATATATTGATATTATATATATATATATATATATATTTCTATCTTGTTTATAATTTATTTTATTCTTTTACACCTCACCACACGCATCTCTATAATATTGTCTCAAATTTTCAATTGGGACGTTCAAAAATATGATTAAAATGTACTTTTAATCATTTAACTTTATATAAGATTTTAATTTAATTTTTTAATTTTATAAAGTATATTTTTTATTCCTTTAATTCCAAAACCATTAATTTGAAATGATTATTGTTTGTGCCAATAATTATTATTTTAAAAATAATTAAATTTAATAAGTCAACATTCAAGAATGTTTTGTTAATATTTAAAAGTTTAATGTAAATTTTGTGTGTGATGAAATTAACAATGTTAGGAGTTAAAGGATTGAAAATATGCTTTATAAAATTGAGAGATCAAAGTGAAACTTTATATAAAATTAAAGGATTAAAAGTATATTTTAACCTATAAATATTTTCATCTTGAAATTTTTGACAATAACTAAATGCTAAAATCAACTAGTTAGGGGTTAGTCTCTCTTAATTAGAAGTCTTGAATTTGAATTTTGAGTACATGCAATATTGATTAAATTTTTTGTGGGAGGTTTGCCTCTCAAAAGATGTTCACAAACTACCAACTAAATTTTAGGTCAAAGATTTAGGATACTAGAACCAAAGGAAACAAAATCCTAGAACTTGGGGATAATGTTAACTAGCAGCCAGCAGGTCATTTCCATGGGCTAAAAACATTATTGCCATGTTAGTTAGCTGCAAAAAGGCCATTGTAAAACGCCATTTGTGATTTATGGGTTGATTTTTCAATTGATAATCAGTTTTATTTAAGAATCATATATAGTAAAAGAGAACAGTATTTCGGCTTTAATTATCTATTTGATTATCTAAATACTAATAACTTTATTAAGTGTTGAACATGAATATATAGCAATAGGAAGAGATCCAGTGAAATAAGCAACGTGCACTTCACTTATTAGAGTCAAGTCATTATAAACTAATTAGTTAAATTCATTGTGTGCTCATGAAGCCTCTAGCTAGAGAACTTTTTCAATGGATGTATTGAAATTTTGAGGGAGGGTTTGGGAAAATGACAAGTAAAGATCTTGTAAAAATATTGATGTCAAATTTAAAACTTTAATATTTAAACATAATAAAAAAAGTACTGAAATTTGAGAACGTCGTTAAAAAATTATAATTTGATATTAATATTCTTATAAAATCTTTATTTGTCATTCTCCTGGGTTTTTTTATCACTTAATTTTTTGTTGAATAAAATAATTTGGGCTCTGTTTGTTTTAGATAAAAAAAATTAATTAATATACCAACATCAGGAAAAGATTGGCATAATCGAACTCGTAATTTCTTACTTCTACGATCTAGGAGTAACATCAAATTTACATCAAATTTACTGAGCCAGTAGCCCACCCAGCTTTTCTAAAGCTTTTATCAGTAAAGTTTTGTGAATTTTCTACTGAGACTTCTTTCTTGCTTTCTTCAAATACCTGCAACAAATTACCGTACGTGTAAAAACATAATAGGTGAGGAGCTTTAGTGGCGGGCAAAAGGTACATTTCAAGAACTTGATGAGATCAATTAAACAAATATTTAAGGAGATCCATATTCAAAAGATTTTTTAAAAAATAAAGAGACGTGTGTGTGGGGTACATGTGCCGTTAACTTGAAGGTAGAAGTTACATATTGCATCTACCTTTTGTAACTTGATTTGATGGTGATATACTTTTTTTTTGTTTTTGAACAGACTGATGGTGATATACTTTATAGTGCTTTTTTTTTTTGGCCCCCATTTGAATCTAATAAATGACATAAATGATGGTAAAAGATTTTGTTATAGATAGCAAGAGAATACTAAATCTCAAATTACTTTTGAAGGAAACAATGTATTTGAAAAGTGTTCTGAACTTGAGATTTCTTTTAAATTTTTGGAAGGAAATGTATTTTAATAATTTTTAAATATTAATAATATTTAATGATTATAATTGAAATACTTATTTTATTAGTGGATTTACCCTCAATCAATGGTCTTCTTGTCTTTGCCTACCTTCGTTGCTGTCAGTAATTATGGACTCTTAATTTAGCAACTAATTAGGAGCAATGTCGTTGTTGTTTAGGTCCTCTATCTTTCTAGCAGCTTCTTTTTTTCGCGCGCGCGCCAGTTAATATTTTGTCTTTTAGATGGAAAAGGAAATATGTGTCTTTGTGAAATACAATTGAAGTGACTGTTAAAGCGATTCATGGAAGCCAGGTGCAATTTACTTCAGTTTAAAATAAAGTCAGTAATTCAGACCATGAATTAACCTAAATTTAATTAAAAAAAATGAGGATGAGGTTTGGCTATATAAGTATTTTTAAGACGATAGTATGTTTTAAGCCTAATTTAAATAAATTCAGTCCGAATTGAACACGACCTCTAAAATTTTCAGCTCCATGTACATGCAAAGTAGATAATTTTGACCAAATTTAATGGGTCAGCCAAAATTAGGCCAAAAAAAATTAGGACCAAATTTGACTATATGAATTTTTTTAAGAGCATAAGATATTTTAAACTTGATTTGAATTGAGCCCGGCTCAAATAACCTTAACCCATTTAAATTACCGGCTTTAGTTTAAATAAGGCCACTTATACCTAACTTGACATTCAAAGCCTTTGGACACCAAATAAGCCATGTTATTGCTGGAACCGCATTCAAAATAATAAAATAAACTTATGTGGACTTGCAGAAATTCATTCAGATAGAACTAGATCATATCAAGACAACTTTTTTTTTTTTTTAAATAACAAGGCTATGTAAATAATTCATAAAAGGGTGAGGGACTACCTAGAGATTTGATATATTTGCTACGCCCCTCTTAGCTCCCTCCTAATATCCAAAATCTTGATCCTTCATTTGGGGAAACTAAATGAACTTGTCCAGGCTATTAGTTGAAATGACGGACTGACTTTTTTTTTGTTAGGAAATTAAAGCAACAGAGGAGAAACCACTCCAAATCCGACTAACTAGAACCACACCATTCATCACAAATATCTTAATTTTTTTTTTTAAATCATAGAAGCAGGCGCTAATGGGTTGAGACTGCAGCTATGATCAAACTCGTGACTTCTTATTTACATGAGAACTTTTTATGTATACTTCTATACTATTATACTGCAAGACCATTAGCCATCACGCAAAATATCAACCAAAAGATGACCACTTTCAAATGAAATTGATGTCAGTGTTAAACTCCTCTCAAACTCATTGTGTTTTCAGTTTTCACCAGGCGGATCAATGGGGTTGCAATGCTACATATACAGGCGATGATCAAGGAACTTTGCTTTTGTAATTCTAATGAAATTGACTTACCCATCACTAGTCAACTTATACAGGATCTTGTCAATATAACGTTAGCTTCAACTTATTAATGCAGCCAGGCCAACACAATAAGAATACCATAAATTAAGCTTAAAATTCATAATCACCTACATTAAATTTGGTTTTAACAAAACATAATTTGTGAAATTGCACATAAAAACATTTAACTATTATTACCAAGCAATAGCACTTTTTGTTTTTTGGGCCAAAGTCGCGCATTGATGAGGCGGGAATTTTTCTCTTGGCCCTTATCTGTGCAATCATAAGATTAAGCCGAAGCATAATTCTTTAGATAACAAACATTAGTTATTCGGTGTCCAAAGAGGGCCTAAACGCAAATAGAAAACCTTTTAATCATGCTCCGCATCTTCTTCGGCCCAATATTATGTTTTTAGGCCTTCTATTTGTGGCCCAATCTTAGAACCCCATGTCAACTGACTCTGGCTGAAGTACAACAAAATAAAAAAGATCAAGAGACCAACAAAAGTCAGCCCAATTAATAAGAATTTAACTCATAATTTATAAAGTCATGATATTAAATCCTACTATTAATATGAAAACTTTATTAATGAACGAATTTATAAATATTTTTGTAAGTTTTTTTTGAACATAAAAACATATCTTGACAGAGTCTTTGAAACTCACCGAAACTTCTTCATTATTTAAAGAAAAATGATCAAGAGCAAAATACATAAAGATAAAAACACTACTGCGATTATGACGCCAAAAGCAAAATAAAAATTTTTAAAAGGAAGAAAAATTGATTAAACAATTGCCCAAAAACATCCAAGCTACGATTGGGTTCTGACAAAACAAGTAAGATTGGGCTTATTGAAATTTGAAGCCCATGGTCAACTTTTTGGGCTTATCACTCATGATGTAAGAAAAATATCCTTTGTTTTTCTTTCCCCCCTATTTATTTTTATTTTTGCTTGTGGCGAACATGATAAAGTTTGTGTTTTTTTAAAAAAGAGAATTTGGTAGGGCACATCAATGCGTTAAGCCTTTAGTTATGGTTTTTAAATTTAAAAATGGTTCCTGCCATTCACTAATTTTTTTGCCACTAAAAAGTGAAAAAATAAGACAATTTGAACAAAAAAAGACAATTCGAAAACATAATATATAGATATTTGTAAAAGTGCTGGAGACATGGTTTTTCCAACAACCAAAAACTCATTTTAACGCAAATATTTTTTGGCTAAAAAATATAAAAAAATTTAAGGCGGAAAAAGATCGAGTGCAAAAAAATCCCTGATTATTGCATTCTGCGTCCGGCTTGCTTGCAAGCTAAAGGGCATTTTGGTAAATGAAGGAGGTCAGCCGGGGCTGGAAAATCAGGGATTAGGATTTAGTCGTCTGTATAATCCACGGCGAGCGTCACAGAAGAAGCAAAAGGACATTACTATCATCTTCATTTGGGCGCTCTATCCTTTCACTCGGAGTTCGCTAAACGACATGGCTATTCCGACCACGGGTCTCCTCTCCAACTTCCTCGCCGGCGAAACGGCGTCGTTCGCTCTCCCTTCTCACACCATGTTAGCCCGCCCTCCTCTTACGTTGCGCCTTGTGCGGAGTGCCACCTCCGCTACTGTGTCTCAACCTCCCACCGGGAAGCAGCCTCGAGGTATCATGAGGCCCCGCAGGGTTTCCCCCGAAATGCAAGCCCTCGTTGGGGTTCCCGAAATTTCCCGAACCCAAGCTCTCAAGCAGATTTGGGCTTACATTAAGGAGAACAATCTTCAGGTGAAGCTTCTTCTACTACTTCTTCATTTCTCTTTTATATAATCTTCTGGTGTTTAACTTCATCCGGTGGTTTCGATGTTTAAGTACTCGTTGTTCCTGAAAGGTGATGCCTTTTTTTAATGTTCTGGTCTTGTTTTGCGTGTTTGGGGACTTTTTTTTTTTTTTTTTGTAATTCTTCCCTTTCTCTGTACATTAGGCTTTCATCTGGTAATTAGACACGCGCCTTGCTTAAAATTAAAAAAGGAAAAAAAAAAGTGGAAAAACCCTCGCCTTCTCTTCTAAATGCATTATTTACCATGTGCATATATTACTGACATGTGGTGTTTTCTTTTTTCTAATTTTTGAATTACAAGTGGGATATTCTGGTTCTGAAGAGAAATTCTATTTCATTTTACTAACTGAGCTAGCCCTTTTCGTGGTGAATTCTTTTTATGCTGTTATATATTGACTGTTTTATACGATGGCTTTAGGTTCATTTCTTATATTGTCTTGGGATTCAACGGGCTTATGTCACCCATGTTTCTGCTGTATTGTGTAGGCCTGTTAGACTTGTCAGATTTTCGGTTTGAGAGGGTTGCATAGGGTTGTTGTATGATGCTTAGACGTCTCATTGACTTAGGAATCAGGATGCTTTTTGAGCCTGCGAGGCTATCGTTTGGAAATCATTGAAGGATTGTCGTGTAGCTTCATTTACCATGTGGACTTATGGTATTGATAGTTGAGCTTTGAAATCCTGTGTGGATGACTTGCTATCTTGTCTTAATGTTGCAATCCCAAAATGTACAAATTTGGATCGATGTTGTCTGCAGATTTTGATTCAGCAGGAAAGTTTGAATTTATCTCTTGTTTGATTTGGTCTTATATGGTGCTGTGTGTGGAAGCTGCTAAAGTACTCACATATTTGTTTGTGCGGGAATATATCAATTAGGGTTCACTTGATATATGGAATACGCTCACTTGATGCTTTCCTTCTACGGGATCGGAACGTGCTCATTTGATATATGTATTTGGGTGTACATAATTCTGTGTTTAGCTAGTTAATATAGCATGGGTTCACTTTTGCATGGCAAATTGGAAATACTATATTATATTTGGGGATGCTGTTGTTGATTTATTTGTTAGACTTGATCAAAGTTACTTGTCTACATGAATTAACTGTATCTAATTCTTTCAAAACCTTATGGATACACCAATTAATCATCACTTGTTATGTTAAGTAGACCTGACTACATGTTTGATCGCATTCTGGTACAACCATTAGGGCTGATCTGCATTTTTCCTTTTAATCTCTTGATAGATTTGTGCGCTTTCACTGAATTCTGTTGATATCCCTATCTATTAAGCTGATATAAATATGGTTGATAGAGAGTTTCTGTAGCCATATTATTAGTCATTTCATATGGTTGGCAAATTGGATGCTTTGCTTGGCAAAAGCAGTTAGATGATGTTGCTTGTCACATTTGACAAGCAACAAGCCAGTTCAGATTTTGTCCTTTTACATTTTGATTTTTTTTTTACATGGAATAGGATGTGGAATAAAAATAATGTTCTAATTGTGAACTTAAAAAATGATCCATGCTTCCTTTGCTATCAATAATCAATAAGTAGAACAACCAGAGTTGGCTGGTTATCCTAGGTGTCTTGGCTATAAATAGTTGAACAAAGCTAGGTGCATTTTTTTTCAGGTGCTTTTCGTTAGGCTTTCTGAAAGATATGATGGATGTTATTTTTCCAGTTAAGAATTACACAATTGCTTGTTTCAAAAGTTTTCTTCCAAATGTTATAATTTTATTGGAGATCCAAGTTAGAAACTCTTGGAAAACCTTGAAGAAGATATTGCCAATAGAAGCTGCATTCCATGTGATGCGTGAAATAGTCTATGTACTTCCATGAATGGTGAATCTGTAGATTACCCTGTACTTAATGTTCTGCCTCATCAGTGCATCATTCCAAAAGTTTAGCAGATCATTGGTTTTCTGCATATACTATTGAATTAATCTTTTCATGCCAGTCTTAACCTTTATTTTTCTGTTGGGTTAAACATGCTAGTTCTAACTCAGTGGCTCCTTCAAATTCTGACAGGACCCTCAAAACAAGAAGATTATCATATGTGATGAGAAGCTGAAGAAGATATTTGCAGGAAAAGATCAAATCGGGTTTCTGGAGGTTGCTGGATTGATAAGCCCTCACTTCCTCAAATGAAAGCAAGTGAAAAACTAGCTTTGAAGTTTGTCAATTGTTGAGGAAAACAAGACTGTCTTTTGTAGTGCAGGTCATATATTTTGGCTGTAAAACTAATAGAATTTGAATATTAATTTATGACCTGCCTTTTGGTAGCCGTTTTTTTGTTTTGTTTTGTTTTTTAACAGAACAAGCTTTGTTAATGGGTTTTTCTTGAGTAATGTAGGCTCTTCAACAGGCGCTAGTACTACCTTGGTTTGTTTTACACCGTCCAATGTTTCCTTATTAGATCTCGAGTTGCATTGTGGTGCAGATTTCGTCCTTGTAGATTCTAAAAGAAAAATCTAGGGAATTCAAAGTGCAATAAACTATGAAGTAAAATAAGCATATTAAAATGAGTGATGGCTTTTTTGACCCCATCTCCCATGGTTAATCTGTCAGACTTTTAGGCTTATCTCTTCCGGGAAACCATTGGAGAGATTGGAGGAAAGAAGTTGATAAACCCCTAAGGGGTGTGAAGAGGAGCATTTTTGCGTTAAATGAAGCAAATCAAGGTCTAATGCACTTTCTGTACTCTCTTATATCCTTAATATAAAACAAAGTTATAGTAATTAATGTTTTTAAATTTCATTCTTTGTTTATGTGTTGTTTGAATTTCTAAACAAAAATTTATTATGAATATTAATTATAAAAAGGATAAAATTGAAAAGATGCATATTTTTTAATAATTTCAAGGTTGTAATTACCGTTACTTAATAAATGTGAAGTTTGTTAATTTCATTTTATATTAAAGATTGGAGAGAATATTTCTCTAAACCAAAACAAAGGAACAGGCCACTGTCATGGTATACATTGTTCCATATCACAAGCAAATTCTCTATATAGTTATACATCCCAAAAAAGCAATAAAAATAAAATCATGTATGAGGTTTATACTATTTTAGACTTATTCTTTAGTGGATTATATGTGCATTCATCTCTATGAATGTAAAAGATCTTGTTTGTATAATCTGTGTCTGGGAAACGTTCGGAAGAATGCCCTATAGCTTGGATAGCAACATAGCTAGCTCCTCATCAGACACCTTCACTTCCAAGTAAGCTCCTAATGATGCAGCAAGTCTTGCAGCTAATTGATGTTTACACTACGCACAACAAACCAAGATTGATGTCAAGTGAAAAAAATTGCATGAATATTTTCCTTGGAGAATTCCATAAGAAAGAGCTACAAACTAGTTTGAATTTTGGCCAGTAATACAGAAGTTAGAAGCAAGGACACGGACTCACACAAAGCTGCTCTCCTCTGTTGACAACGTCATAGAAGAAGGCATAACAGGAGCAGAAGTTCTCAGGAAAACACAGATACTCCTCTTTTCTTCTGGATTCTCCCATCACCTGGAAAACACACAAGTTATCAAAACCTTATTTCAAGTTATCAACAAACAATTACTAACGCCTAAACTGTCAAGGCCTGTAAGGAGTGTAGTTATTTAAATGCTTATCATAAGTTCCCCCCCTTTGTCGGTGCTTATCATAGGATTTTTTTAATTATTATGTTAAATGTAAAGATTTTGTTGATAATTCAGCACTATCTCAAAAACAGTGGGTTTTGTTGAAAGAATTTGATAACAAATATCTGAAACTTAATCAAACTTTTATGGATTATCAATCAGATAAGTCTAACTAATTCTTAAAAGGTTGAACTTTTCTCAGCACAACATTCAAAAGCTGAAAACTGCTTCCCCAAATAAAATTGACGTATCAGTTTATTAAGCTTGTAGGTATTCCTTCCTACTTAGTAGATATTCTCATACTTTGAGCTGTTTGTATCATGGATTTTAGTACATGGCACTCTTGTTTACACAAAATAAAATAAAATAAAATTGAAGCAACAAAATACTTTGTGTGCAATTTAAACTGGGACAAATTTTCCAGGCCATTTTAAACACAGAGGCACAGTGAATAGTTTTCACAATGCGCAAACATGAAGAAACTGTTTATCATGTGTGAACAGTATCGATATCAGTACAAAGTCACTTAAGTCATAGCCATGCAGCTTGAACTCTATGCAATATACTGGTATACAGATATGTCTAGTATATTCATTTATTTATTTTGGCCACCATGTGTAATTTAACACTAATGCAGTGGTGTATAGCAAACAGTGATTTCCAACCTCATGAAATCTTTACTAATTAGGCTGAGTGGTAGACCTTAATCAGACCATATGATGAAACTCTTTCCAAGTCCTTCCAGATATCCATAACCTTAAAGTGAATAATGCCAAAAAGAAAAAAAAAAAAAGGATTGACTATTCCTAACTTTCCTGGGATTTCTTGGATAGAGAATGGGAATGATGGAATCAAACCTGGAAGATGTATCTTCCGCTGGGCTGCCCAGAAATCTTCTTGACACCTCTTTGATCCACAATTCTGGTGGCACGCTCAAAGTTCTTGCCAAATATGAAGAGCAAACTGAGTCCAAGAGAAAATGAGTTGCTAAACACGAGTGGATTTTCGCTGCTTAAATCAAATGACTTCAAGATAGAGAAAACAAGGCAAAAAAAGAAAAGAAATTTACTGACGTCCAAAGATGATCGTCGGTCACTGTGGCCAACGCAGTTCGATAAAAATCAGCCGGTGCCGCGTGTGACGTGCATAATTGAAAGGCCAAATTTAGATAAGCAATCAACATGCTGAATGTGTATCAGCAAACCAATTAAACATGTTATAGAGGGCTTGGGGGGGGGGACCTGAACATTTTGACTGGATTTCCTGCCAGGTTGCCTCTGCCACCAAAATGCTGGCGCTCATTTGCTTGTGATATGAGAAAGCAAATGATGATTCCAAGGGAAGCGTGATTTGAAAGGCGTAATGAATGAATAAATGTGGACTGTAGATTGTGGAATGGATGTTGGAGGCGAGTTTCAGGGGAATAGTCTTAGCGACAAGATGAGCCACCAACTGTTTGATTGAATGCCTGAATGAGGAAGGGATGTTATACTGATGATGTTTATACGGAGCAAGCTCGCACGGCCGACACCCTCCGTTCATCACTGTTGATGATTGTTGGTATAACATTTTATATTGAGACAGGCACTAAATGGTCTGAGTTTAAAGCAGGATCCAACCGCTGAAAGTTTGCATATGACTAGACTACAGAATCATTGGCGAGTTGTACCAAAATTAAGAGAAGAATTCAGACACAATAACAATACGCGACGGAGAGAAAATATTTTTATTTCTTTAATTATGTACAGATATCCTATTTTATTGAAGTCAATCCTGTATCTTGGATTAGTTCTTCCACTAGATTTAAACTATTGCTCATAAAACATTTTTATCTTTTTAATATTTAATTATTCATATGTTTTATTATATATTTATACCCATAATATTTTTATTTTGATTAATTATTGAATTAAATACATTTTTTAAAACTCCATCGTCTCCCCAAAAAGAGGGTTCACTGTTCTTTCTTTTTTCAGGAAACGGAGTTTTTAACTTTTTAAATTAATCACATCATTTTTTGAGAAAGATAAACACAACACATCTAAATTGACTTGATTAATAACTTCAGAGATTATATTCTTTATGATTCTTCCCTTGCGGTCTCCTAACGAATATGAATTTCTTTTACTGATTTACCGTAAAAATAAATTCTAACGTGAGTTTGGGTTTAAGATGTGAAATTTTACCTCTGTACAAATGAATTTCAATTTCAATGTTTTGTTAGGTCCCTATTAAGATATCATTGTCATCAACACTCCTCTCAAACTCCCACTGGTCAGTCTCAGAGACATAGGAAGATCAATATCATCAAAAATCAATCAAATTGAATTTTATTCTCTTAGCATCTCAAAGTCTGAGAAACAGCATTGAGATCAGCGTTCAGCGACCGAAAAAGAGAATCCAAAACTATGTACATGCTTATCTGCATTATTAACAAGTTCTCAGTAACCTTCAGTTACCATCTCTGAAATTTCACCCTTCCTCTAATGGATCCTCTGCCAGAATGTAGCTACATTGGTCATCTTCATCCATCTTTTAGTCCGATGATACCATGTAGAGCCATGGCAAGTTCTATTCTTCAGGAAGCTGTACGAAGGACACTCTGTTCAGCTTCGTCTGCGTTCAGGGAGAAAATATCCAAAGGAGCACTTATGGAACTGAGAGCATTTTTCTTAACTTTGTAGGTAGACCCATTTCGGTGATCAAGATACATTACTATAACAGTAATGTCATCATGGAAAAGTCTTCTCACTCCCTTGTTAATTTTCTTCATGTCATTATATCTCATCTCTCTCTTCCTTGCTGCTGAATCAAGTGCAGCTCTCACCAACCTCATGGCAATGCCCTGATTGATCCAGAACCACGAGGTAGAATCAATTTTAAGAATTGTTCAGTACAGTTCAACATCTTTATGAGAACAAAACCATCTCATAGATAAGACAAGGAACTTACAGCTCTTGGATATTTGTACACAATTTCAACTGCTTCTTTATCAGTTAATTGTTCCCAAAGGCCGTCTGATGCAAATATCAGAAACAAATCTTGCGACTCAAGATCTCTGACAATGACTGATGGTTCAGCCGTCATTACAGGACGTTTCAAAGGAATGGGGTTACCAAATTTCTGAAAAAGTGGGTCTCTAGAACAATCAGGGTTCTTGAGATACATATCACCTATAGATCTTGACACCTGCAATATTTGCATCACAGTTACTAGATGAAGTCAGGCGCATTCATCAAGAGAGTCGATATGTTCACAGTTTTGCTCACTTTGTGATAAAATTCTGGATATACATTAAGTTTCTGATAACCACAAAATTAAATTGTGTTAAAGGAGGCAAGAAGATTGGAAGGAGATATGTAGATAATTCATGTCCTGCTTGAGCATCGATTCTTTGAAGTGTGGAATTTAATAAGTTTCCTAACATGAAAGAGATTAACACACAATAATGTGCATCACTTCTTAAATGTGGGTCTCACAAAAGTAAGAGCCACCATTGTATGTTTTTCTCTCTTCTCACTTTAGGTGAAATCATTTTAGGTGATCCAAACTATTACTGCTTTCACTAAAAGTTGTGTTATTTAACAGAATTAACACTCCAAGAGACAAGAGTCCAGCTTCAAAGGCTATGAATAGAAAGAGGTGCTATTATTGTTCTCTATACTCTAACAATGTGACATATATAAGAAATGCAGGCGTAACATGTACCTGTATAATGCCTTTAATCCTCCAAGTTCCACGACTAAAAACCACAATGTGTTCATCATCAGGATGAAGAGATTTGACCTCTCTCCTCACCTCCTCAACAGAGACATTATGATCAGTTGACAGTCTTTGTGCCACCACCGGATGCTTGTAGTCCCCAAAAACTCTCCGGCCAAGAACTACTCTAGAATCACCAAGGTTCGCAACATATAATACATTATCAGAGATTGCACCAAGAAGACAACACGATCCTACCGAAGCAATTCGGGGAGTAGTGTGCAACGATTGCTTCACCAAGCTCAAGAAATCATCCTCAATTGCATGAAACGCCTTTTTTATCACATCCACTGATAACCCCCCATTTTCAGCGGAAAGTTCTACAAAAGAGTGGTAAATAACTTGTATAAGTGTTCACAGATTTTATATAAATCATAATGAATTCGCATAACATCAACTGAAGAGAATTTTCCGAAACGCAGTGGCAAAGTGAGAACCTAAGCAATTAAAGGAACAGGCAACCAACTTTGTAAACAAGGAAAGAGGCGTTTGTTAACGAATCTAGAAGCTTCAGGACCGCCATGGCCATCGTAGACACCGACGTAGGTGGTGGAGGGAGACGTAAAGACTTGGCTCTGATCTTCGAGGCAGGAATTGGCTTGAGCAACGGCGATGGAGAAATCACCGGAGGCATGAGGCTTCAAGTCGGAGTGCCAGAGAAGACCGTCGCTTCCACAGCCAAGCCTGCCAAAACAGCGTTCCAGCAAGCCATCAAACGAATGCATCATCATATGCATACAGATAAAACAGATACAATTGAGGAAGAATGAATGTTTAGTTTTGAGAGGCAGTGAAATAGGTAACGAAGGAATAGAAATCACGGGGTTTAAAGGTGAAAGTCAATAGTACAGAAGGAAGGTGGGGGTTATTGCCGCGTGAGAACGAAGACGACGGGCTAAAGTGGCGCCATTTATAGTTGACGCGTAAGTTCTGTGCGCGCGTTGAAAACGGATCTGCTTCCAAAGAAGGTATCCCATCTCGTGGTTTTGCTAAACCAGTAAACCAGTAAGCCCGCTTCGGCTTGGCTCCTTGTATACATTTTCTTTTTTAAAATAAAAAATAAATCATTAGTTAACAAATATTAGAAATTAATTTATACTTGAGTTTGGTCGTATTGCGATTTAGTGACTTACAAGTGAAAAGAATCTTTCTCAACATGGCTATTTTTTTATTCATGAACACAAATTCAAGATTTATTAGGATAAACACCAAATAAAAATTATTTGATGCGAATGGAACCAACTACTACCTAAGTGATGGGAACATAAAATTTAATTTTAGAGATGTTGAGTTATACATCTTTCAACTCAACTATGTTAATAATTACTAATATTAACAATAATAATATTCAAATTGATTGATTTGTGGCGAATATTACAAGGGAACCATCAACTCAGTATCATCAATAATGTTCTTTCTTTGTTTAACTTTGTAAGATTGATGCTTCTATTTATATTTTATTTTTTATTTTTTTTTAATTACGGAGGCCTCCGTGACTACGTCATTGGAAGCAAGGTAGCCAGCCACCAGCAAAAGCAGTTGGATCATGGAATCCTAACACGGTTTCACAGGAGGGAGAACAACAACTGGGGCATTCATAATAAACTTGATGAACTTTCATAGTTTCATTGAAACTTTAAAGTAATTTAAAGTAATAATCAGTACATAAAAAGGAAATACTCCCTCCATTCAAAAATGTAAAATATTTTTTAAAAAGTTTAATGTTTAAAAATATAAAATATTTTTAATCTTTTAAGATATAATCATTACTTTTTTTTTTCCAAAAGCGCCCCTATTAATGAGTGATTTTATATTTACTGTAGGTTAAATATGAAAAAATAAGGTTAGTTGAAAAGTAAGTAACTACTTTATTAGAGGGTTAAACTCAATTAAAAATGTCTTATATTTTTAAACGAAGGGAGTAATTTTTTAAAAAGAAAATGTATCTAGAAATTGAGGTGAGTACATTTTTCATTTTCTTTTTAAAAAACTTGTTTTTAATCTAGGTAATCCCTTGAGATTAATAACTTGACATGTTAGATAACTACAACGAACCTGGTATAATAATGCAATTAATCTTGATTGACTTCATCAAATAATACCGTATCATTTAATAAATTGAATAAATAATCATTAATGGACTTCTGGTCACCTAAATATAATTCGTACATATTTTCTGACCTGATTCAATTGTCCATTAATTGACATTGTGTCTCTAGGATTTATATTGATTGGCCGTGGCTGGGAATCTCTCTCCCTTCCTTCCCCCCCGCCCCCCTTCTAATCTCTACGTTCTCCAACAACATCACAGTTCTTGTGGTATGGGAACAAGAATCACAATGCTCTCATTTCATGTACTTAAGTACGAGCATAAATGCTAGCATGCACCAAATTTCATTAATACGAATCTGCATGACTACAAAAACGAAATGCAACTTCATGGTATTTTTCAGAACCACAAAAACAGCAATACAATATTAAAAAAAAAAAAAACAACGAGATTACACTGCATGCAGTTGCAATATCTGTCCACAAACTCGAAGAATACAACTTATACCTCAAATTACACGCAATGCACATTGGCTTCTCTAGTTTAAAAATATACCTCTTCTACAGAATGGGCAATCCCCACATTTTCGAACCCATGGATCCAAACACGCAGAATGGAATCTGTGCCCACAAGGCAAGCGTATCAGCTTATCACCATCAAGAAAAGTTTCCAGGCATATGCCACAATCCTGCAGTACTCTAGATTCCAATTCTTCCGTTTGTGTTTCCCTGATGCTAAATACTTCCATATGCAAACGGTCCATGGCCTCCTGGTTGAGTCCAGGTGGTTTTTTGTTCACTTCCTGTAAGAGTTGGGACCTCTCCATTTGTAAAGTTAAGTCAGTTAATGGGAAACCCTCAGCTAAACGACTAGTTGAGGATTCACTGCTCTCTTCATCCCTGAAGTTCGTATGCCTCATGTCATCAATATCTAGAGAGATTCTACCCCTTTGCCTAACAAAAACGAGAGTGAAGCAAAGACAACTATTAGTGCATACAGAACATAAATAATTTCATTCACCCCTTCATCGTAAAATGACACCAAGTAAAAGTGAAACGAAAGGACACCAATCGATCCATCAATATGATAAATAAACTGCACTTTATAATTCATAAATAGCAAGACCTGCTATAAATTTTAGAATGATATATTGATCGGTCTAATACACCCTAGGCTATCTGACATTGATACTGGATCATTTACCCACGTTGGTGCTTCATACTTCATAGATTAAGACAGGCACATGCATTAAATTTAAGTTTGGCAGCTTTTCGGTTCCACAGATATAGAAATACTGTATATCAAGATAACAAGCTGCCAAAAGTTTCTAAGCCATGCAACATGTCCATGTGCAACAACAAAAATAAGAAAACAATGTGTTGAAAGCAAACCTGTTTCTGGAGGGAGGTGCTGCACTCAACCTCTGAAGGAGTCTTGCCCTTGCATGTACCACAGCTATGGGTAGCCTGTCATTCCCATTCACTCTAGGGCCCCTGAAACTGCTTACATCTTCAGCAGAATTGGCTGTGTTTGAAAGAGAACGGTTGTGCCTAAGGTCAAGTCTAGCTGATTCTTGCTCCTAAGGAAACAAACTCAATAAGTTAGGAGACTCAGACCATAACAATCAAACTCAAACCTGTGTGACAAAAGATCGACAGTACTATCAATTTCCTACCAAAAGAAAGAAGTGAACAAATAAAAATTCTGTAATGCGTTGAGGATTGACAAAAGTTAATGACCAAAACCAAGGACATATTCACATTGCCATATAACACCAAACAAAAAAAAAGAGCTTAGCATATTTAACCAGAAAAAGCACACGAAACACCTAAAAACTGTAAGCTCAGAGAAGATATAGAAGGCTGCTTGACTAGCACGTAACTCCATTGCATGCTATAACTTAAAAGGCTAATCTATAGAGGCTTTGAATGTTCAATGATCTTAAGATTTACTCAAATTTTGTGATATTTTATGAGCGGATGGTGAAGAACTTCATCTCTTCATAGTCCATAGTCCATACACAAAACTTAACCCAAAATAGATCCAGTAGATAAGATTCATGGATAACATTAATGGGGAACCATATCTAAGTGAGACATTGAGCTTGGCAACATTTGCAACATGGACCCTCGATGTATTCCTAAACCGAGCGTTAAGTTTTGTAAAAATTGCAACATCAAACAAAACCAAATTCTTTAAGAACTATTCTTGTATGCTTGCTTTGGTACGTAGGAATGATTTTCATGATGGAATGGGAGCAGAATGAAATCCTGTAGACTTGTATCCTCAACAGATCCTTAATATCCTAATTGATCTAGTTTCAAACATAAAGAAAATCACGTATATCCGTAAAAACCTTATACTGGCTTTCTGAAAGCTACCACTTGGAAGTAAGGTCAATAATCCAATCCCATGATAATCCAGGAGCTGCCCATACCCAAAGTTGACAGCAGGGGGCTAATTATTCGATTATATGCAAAATTTCACTAAAAGAAGTACCATAGCTCGACTTTTATCTAAAATTTAACTCCCTTGAATCTTCTTTCAGAGAAATTAAGCCGATAAAAACATGCTATTAGGAAAAAAAAAAAAAAAAGACTAACCGTGTAGGACAAACGATGAAATAGCCGTCGCGTTGGCGTGGACCGTCGGAGAGTCTCACCATCACTGAAATCATGTGGATTGTGATGATGGCGACGATTATTGATATCGAGATGAAGATATCTATCGGGCAACGAATCGTCCCCCAGATAATTAGGGGTTCGTCCCAAACGATACCTCCGATTGTAGAATAGCTCCGAAGCACTCGTCATGCACTACCAAATTCGAATAGCTTTCTCTGCTTCAGCGGAAATGCCGAATCTGAAAGAAAACAAAGCGAAAATATCTATCGAAGCGTCAGGGGAGGTTTCTGTGAATTTCGCGCTTCACAGTGATGTCAATGAATCAACACTGCTTCTTTCCCTAATTTTCCGAGAAAGTGGAGGGGAAAGCGCAGTTCCTATTTCCTAAACGCTGAAGAACGACCTGGAATAACTAAATTGAAAAAAGAAAAGAAAAGGAAAATAAAAACAACTAATGATCAACAATGTCACAGTTAAGTGTTCTGAATATTAAAATAATTTATTGTTGGTTATTTTTTAAGAATGTTTTCATCTAAAATACTAAAGAAAAATTCTACGAAAAAGTAATAACATTAATAAATTTTTGTAATAACTTACTTTTATCATTTTTTTAAAAAAAAAACTTTGTCTAAGAGAATATGAGTAATAAATCTTTTATTTTCCACTACAAATGAAAAAAAAAAAAAAAAAAACCTCCCACGGGTGATAGTTATGTCCAAATAGCAAAATGAACACCTCACTTAAGGAAAACTATACAACACAATTGGGCCTATTTAGAAACTACTGCAACATATGATGAGCAAGCTGCTTAGAGAAGGCCCAGATGACAAACAGTACTCAGCAACAAAAAGAACAATACAATATTAGATCATAAAGATAAGCAAATAGCCGAATAGTATGCAATGCATACATCACATACATCTCAACGAGGTTGGGTTTAATAGAAGAAACCAACATTTCATAAAGTTACAAACTAAAGTTTGAGTTCTTGTTAGGTGAGGCATTTATATTTAGTGTCAAATAGTATTTTAAATAAAATTGTCTTTAGCAAGATGATACCTGAGAATAACAAAAAAAATAAATAAATGTTGAAGAAGCATTGCCCTATTGTCATCCATCTCAATGTGTGTTACAAAGTGCACAAAATGTACCACGTTGGGAGCAGACCAGAAGACTTAAAGTCGTCAAGGAAGAGAAAGGAAAAAAATGTCATACTAGGAGCATACCCAACCTTTGCCAAGTAAGCAATAGAAACACCACCAACTGCAACACAAATGAAACCCAGATTGTTTGTCGATTGTATTGAAAAATGAAGAAAGAAAACAAGCTTTGCAAACTGCAAGTAGTTGGATTCTGAAATTTTACCAAAGCCAAGCTCAAGATGCATTCTAAGCTTAAAAAACATTTATAGAAACACTTACGGATTGCTTATTGATCAGGTTTTTAAATTGATAACAAGATTTGATTTTACAATTTTTTAGGATATGAGTAGAATCTTTATCAACCATACCAACATTTATTGGTTGCAAACTGCAAATTATTCACACACCCACAAAACATAAAACCAGGACAATTAAAACATGAGTAGCTTCTTAGCTAAACAATATTTTACTTGTCTTTACGTTGGCACCTTTTTCACCATGATGAGAGGTGAATTCTGTTCTCCATGAGGACGGGGTCCAGTCACTATAGAAATTAGGATTTGAGTATTTTCTATTACATGTTAATTTCAAATATTCATCTTACATTTTTATTTTATGAATTAATGGGATTGTATGTGTGGGGTGGGGCAATGGTGGAGTTAGGAGAATTAGCAGGCTAAGGCCCTTAACTTTTTATTTTCTATTTTTTGTCAAATATAAAAGTTATATATTTTTGACCCTTTAAATTGGCACATTTTAAAAGTCTTATGCTATTGAAAAGAATTCTTATTTCAATTCTATATGTAATCTTTTACGCATATATAGTTTAATTATTTCAGTAGCTTGAAGATATAATTGTCATATAATTTATCTATTTTCAACAAGAATACTACACTTACTCTTAAAGTATTAATGTCATTTGATTTTGATTTCATTTTATATTTGATAAAAAAAATTATGAGAATTATTACTAATAAACTCTGTCAAGTACTACAATAAAAATCCTAATATATATTAAATGCTATATACTTGATATCTATAATAAAATTACTCATACAAAAGTTAAGAAGTTATGGTTAAGATATGTTCTTTTAGAAAAAAAATATTTTTTTCATAATAACCAAGCTATTGAAATTTATTATATGAATAGTTTTTACTATGATATATTTAGATATCAGCAACATAAGGAATTTTTGACAATTAAGCATCATTACCTTTTGATATAATTATTTACTATAATTATCAATTAAAAGAATTAAATAATAAATTTAGTAAGCAAGTAATATATTTTTTAGATTGAATAAAACTTTAACTCCTAATGATACATTTAAATCATTCAACGCTTATAAAAAAGATGAAATCTTTGCAATTTAATGATAGTTTATGTTGAAAAGAAAATTATTAAAAATTTTATCATAAATATGATAATTAATTATTTTTATATCATGAAAAATTAAGAAACAAAACTTCAAAATATAAAAAATATATTTATTTTTATTGTATATTTGTGAAATTGAATATAGCTGTATGCATTGAAATATTTATTTATGTTAGTGATACACACACAAATATATATATATATATATATATATTTTTTATTATTATTACATATGTTTTGTCATTTCAGCTGTTCTAATAAAATTTTCTGGCTTGGTTCTTGGGTGGGGCGTGCGCATGTTTAAGATTGGAGGGAGTATATTTAAAGCAAAGAAAAAAAAATGCATCTTTCTAAAACGTGGCTAACATTAAAAAGCATATTTAACATCTCAATGAGGTTAACCATTGAATGGAGACATTGTCCCCAATGATCATATTTAATGGCAAAATCACAGTCTCTTACCAATCGAGTCTATTCCTGGCAGACTCTGAATATTTTAGTCAGATCACTTATCACGTCTTATCCTAATCCATTCGAATCCGAAGTCAAGCCAAGTAGAAATTACGATTCATGCATCAATTTAAACATGTAATGACAAAAATGACCCTTTTTTTTCTTCTGGAAAGCCACAAATGTTGATACATCAAACTTTTTTTCCATTTCGATTTGTTCGAAGTTCAAACTTTCGCAATCAAAAAGGAGAAACGAGATTTAAAAAAAAATGAGTATAATATATTTATGCATATCAATTAAAAATTACTTCAGGAGCAAATCAACGAATAAGTTCTATAGTACACAGTGAAAGTGCATGCTAAAGAACAAATTCAGGTACATGTTTGGAAATTAACCAGTGGTTACAAGCTCTTGCTTGTTCATGACAATTTTGTAATTTTCTTTTTCTTTTTCTTTTTCTCGTTTGAGTTTTCTTGCCGTTAATAGGGAGTAATGGAGTAAATTATATGTACGTATGGATTCATTATATTGGTATATTATTGTAACTCCATACATGTTATTACTTATTGAATGGTAGCGGGGGAGTGAGTTCACCGAGTTGTAAAGCGAATAGTGAATAGAGATTAATTTCATGGCTGAACAATGGTATGAATTCTTCATAAAAGCTTGATCTATAATCATTAATGTTTAATTTAGACAATAGTATGGCTAATAGATAGGGATGAATTAATTGGGCAATTTTTATGGAGGTAGAAAATATTACAATTAGAAAAAAGATTAGGCCGTGAATAGATGCAATAAATTATAAGTTGTCAGATTATCACCCCATCAATGACAAAAGTAGTGTTGTTCGTTTTGTGGAAGAAGATGTTCTTCCACGCAACTTTGCAGACTTATGGGACTACATATTAGTGTTGCTATAATGTTCATGGAGATATCAGTGTCTTTTGTGACAGGGTTGGATTTTCTCCTTTGTAAAGGAGAGAAGTGGAGAAACCAAAACAGATAGGGACCATTAAATTAAATTTTAAAATTCAAATTTAATAATTTTTTGAAAATATAAATTTAATTTGAACAATCTAAATTTATAGTGAATAAATGGTAAAAAAATGATAAAGAAGAGAAACCCACCTCTTTTTGACATATCTTCTGTTGTTGATGGTCGTAGACATTTGTAAAGTAGCCTTACAAGATGAGCTCTTTCTAGTTTGAATGGCATCTTTTTCATGATGGTGTTAGTTGGATCATATCTTTAGTCTCAGTGTTTATGGGTCACAGTGCTTCATCTTAGGGTCAAGTTGTTTTGTTGGATTTTTTTTTTTTTGTCGTTCTCTTTCATTTACTACGATATGTCTCGAGTTCGTATGTCTTACTTGGCCAGTAGATATCTTAGGATTTCACGTACTAATCGTCTCATTTTAATATTAATTTGATTTATCTTCAAAAAAAAAAATCATGATTTGTCCTTCTCCTTGTAAGATGTCGATTCTCTCTCTGTATCTTCTCTCAATGCGCCTCTCCATAATATATATAAGTTTTAATTATTTATTTGATTTCATGGTATAAAATTGCTAATTATAATATTAAAATAAATATATTATTTATTATCATCACTTAAATGCTTTTATAAATAAGATCATAATGTTTTTTCTATGGTAGTTAACTAGTTATTAAATAATTTATATTTATTTTAATGTATCTTATACCATTAAATTAAATAACCAGTTAAGTAGATGAATGTGATTGAATATGAAAATAAGTAACGAGAAAGTATATACAAAGAACTAAATTCTGTTGACTTTGTACGCTTTGTTTTTCAGTGGCCAATAAAAAAGTTGTTCCTTTTCATACCAATTTCCTAATTGTCTAGTGTTTACTATATTTATTATTTTTTATAAGAATAATCCTATTAACAAAGGTGTTCCCACATTAATTAAATTAGGAAAGAAAGAAGGGATTTAACTATATATTAAAAGGGTAATTTTGAAAAAAAAATGTTGTCTATTATTGACAGCTTCATTATTGCTTTTAACTAAACTACCTCCATTTAAATCTTTGCAAGATTAAAAGGCTCCAATAATTAGAACGGAAGAAGAATTAATTATTAACCATGTTTTATCATAATCAAGAATAGTTAAAATTTTATCAGCCTCAACCCGAGCCATTCTTTTGGCTCTATCTACGTTATGCTCTTAACTTTTTATTCCCCTGGTATTAAATATTTCTCAAGTTTTATTTATAAATTATTTTTAAAATATTTTATTAAAATTAAAAAAATCTTAAAATTTATTAACTTTATTTAAAAATTTAATAAGTTCTCAATTTTATCATTATTAAATATATATATTTTTAACAACATATTTTCTCTTTCTAAAATTTAATAGAGGTTTAAAAGAGAAATTTGTGATAAAAATTTAATAATGTGACTTATAAATAAAATAAAAAATATTTTTTTACTCTATAAATAGGACTGAAGGGAGTATAAGACTAATTAAGTTAACCAACTAATTCATGAAGATTAAAATAATTAGTTTCATTGGTTACTTATTAATTATTATTCCTTTCATATTAAATTATAAAATACTTTTAGATAAAATTATATATATGAATAAGCTTATTAAATTCATTTTATAAATTTATTTTTTAAAATAAAAATATAAATTTTTAAAAATATCCATAATTTAATACTTAATTTATAAAAGAATATTAAAAAAGAGAATATAATATGAAGGGTAATATTAAAAAAGTATTATTAATAAAATTTTATTTTTATCAAGGCATTTTATACCTTAAAATGCCATATCTTTTTCAAAATTTCTTATAATTCGGGGCAAGGGAGCATCATTATGTAAAAACATGTGTCATTTTGCTTAAGCTACCCCTTTTTAAATGAGGGTAACAAATGTAAGATAAAGAGAGTGAGAAATTAAAATTATAAATAAATTGCTTATAAAAAATTAACAACGATATTTTAGATTAAAAAAAAAGGAGACAGAGAAGGTTGAGCTCCTATATTTAGAGCCAAAACAAATCTCTTAACTAATATTGTCAATAATTTTAAAATCGAACCAAACTAGATGGTCAAATTGCCGACCAGTTTAGATTCTGATTCGATCAATATATGAAAACAGTTTTGGACGTTGAGTCAGGTTGGGCCATTTCGAATCGACAGTCGAATCTGGAAATGAAATCAAGTCAGGAATCGGATTCAAATTTCAAGAACCGAATTGTTCAAAAAAAAATTATTTTTTATTAATTTTTTTGAAAAATGATCAATTTTTTTAATTATTTGATGTTATAATGTATCATGTGGTTTGTTAAATCATGATAAACTTAAAATATTTAATTTTTTAAGTTAAATAATAATTTTATATTTATTTTTTATATTTAAATTATTATATATATATATATTTTTTTAATTTAATTATTATATTATTAATTTAATTATTGATTTAATTCAATTAAATTATATGAATTCTGAATCATTGATCTTTTTGATTTAATATTTAATCCGCTTCCGAAAATATTGAGTATTGTTTATAAAAGCATATTTTCTCTTTCATTGACATCAGATCCATAAGCGTCATTGTCGATGTTTTCTAAGAATATACACGTGTCGACTCATCAAGCAGTATAGAGGGATGAGTGGGGCCATGCCTTGATTAACGGACGGAGCAGGATCTTTCACAAACGTAACTAAAACCTTTTTCTTCACGGAACAGTACGAGAGGCAACCATACAAATAAGTACAAACGATACTGGCAGAAACACAAGAGAAGCAGAACACATACACATTTTTTTTTTTTTTATGAACACAAAGTTAAGAAACATATTTTACAGGAAAATGTCTTCGAAGCTAAATTATTATAAAAAAATATAATATTTGATCCTCACACTTTACTCATATTTTAATATTAATTCATATACTTTTTTTTTATATTTTAGATTTTTAAATTTTTATTTTTTATTGTTTTAAGTTCCTCTATAAATAAAGTATATGAACTTTAGAGAGACTTAAAACAATAAAAAATAAAAATATAGACCTAATATAGCTTATGTTGTAGGCAAATTGAGCAGATATACCTACTGTCCAGGCAGTAAACATTGGGAGGCTTTTGGTGAAAGTTTTGAGATATTTGAGAGGTATCATGAATTATGATATATTGTATAATGAATTTCCCACTGTATTGGAAGGATACAATGATGCTAATTGGATTTTGAATTCAAAAGAGATAAAATCCACTAGTGGTTATATATTCACTCTTAGTAGTGGTGCAATAATCTGGAAGTATGCAAAACAGACAATTAATACAAAATCCTTAAGGGATTCTAAATTTATTGCCATAGATCAGGTTGGAACTGAGGTTGAGTGGTTGAAAAATTTTTTAACAAGTATTCCAATAGGTGAAAAGCCCACACCATCAATGTCATTTCATTGTGATAACCAGTTTGCAATAGCAACAGCTAAAAATAAGACTTTCAATAATAAAAGTAAACATATTCAATTGAGACATCATATTATAAGGTAGCTGCTCAAAGATGGGGTCATCTTAATCAATTATGTAAGATTAGAGTTAAATCTGGTAGATTCATTAGCTAAGCCCCTGGGAAAGAAATTTATTATTAAAATGTCGAGAGGAATGAAACTTAAACCTGTTTGAAATTAATAATAATGACAACCTAACTTTTATGATTGGAGATCCCATAAAGAAGGTTCAATGGGCAAGAACGAGTCACTAGTTAGTTTTGTTAGCACTAAAGTTTTGTCTCTTCCTATGACTTGAGAAAGTGCTAGAATGCCTTGAACGGAGGCTAAGCGAAAGCTCTTAATATTTTCATAGTCCTTATAGATAGTGTATTCATTGCAGATATATTTGATGAAAAGACCTATACAAATGTAGAGTGGGGCCACTCCTATGAGATCGTGGCAAAATCTGTAGACCATTTGTTAAAACTAAATGCATGCATAGTCGATAACGTGCAAAATTGTCGTTAACAACAGAGATTATAGGGTATAATTTAATTAATAAGACCTCTAGTACACGTTTAAAATCTATTGGTTCAATAACAAAGTTACACCAACTTTTTTGTGTGCTAAGTTTTATTAGTCTAGATTTAGTTCAAGTCGATAGACACTAAATTTAAAGTGATTATCCTTCGTATGAATAACTTAGATGATAGTAGATTCTTTTGACACATGTGAGGAATTGTTGTGTGTGTGTGTCAAAAGTATGTGTGTTAAAAGTCCCATATTGTCTAAATGAAGAACTCTCATAGTGTATAAATACTAAGGAATGAAGTGGACTGGTAAAATGAGCTTGGAGGCGAAGTGAGCTCGCGTGCACAAAACAGGCCAACTCAGGACAATTGCAGTTGAAATCAGTTGATTTACCCCCCGCGTGTGAGTTTAAGAGGCATTGATTTCCTTTTATTGAATTATTTTTACAAAATAAATAAATAAATAATTATTTTTAATTTACTGGAAAATCTCAATTTTTGGCTATCTGGAGTTTGAAAACAAATCATGAGCATTTTTTAGCCATTAACTAGATTAATTTTCTAAACATATTTGTCCCCCCAACGTTTCTAAACAAGAGCTTAAATGTGCTTTACGTTCGTGTAACCCCCAACATTTCCAGACATATGCTTAAACTTGCTTTATGAGTATGTACCCGAGCCTTTACTCCGGTGGTTGAATGCCCAACGTTTGAGTCCAAGATCTGGCCTATATATAGGCAAGCATTCGAATTGAACAACTGGCCAACCTCTTGAGCTTTCGGGGCATTCTCCTCCTCCTCTTTTGCATTCGTCTCTTTTACGTTTGTCTGAGTTTTTTATTAGCATTGCTGTTCTGTGCCTTTGTGTTATGCAGGAAGTGCTTGTTTAATCTCAAAGAATTGTCGATCTGTCATCCCAGTATGCTGGAATAGTTTTAAGGACAGTGTCTTTTTGGGCATGACTCAAGTAGCTCATGATTTACGTCCATACTGACAACAATTCCTTGTTTAGAGGCAATCGCCATAGAAAGAACAATACATCATTTTTGCGAAAGCCCCACTTAAAAAAATTCCATTATCATCTCTGCATGTTATGACTAATGCTAGCAGAATTCTCATTTGGGTTAAAGATTAATGTCTACACTTCACTTGAAGCATTGACACTCGTTCAAGTCCAGCACGACTCCACACATAACCACCCCTAGTCTGATATGCTACCATGAAAATCAGGGATTTTGTTATAAGGAATTGGAATATAATTATTTTAATTACATTTTTAGAAAAGCAAATAATTGCGTGATTTAATTCTGTGTCTAGGATTTCTGATGATCCACTCTATGGGTATGGACTACTCATGACGTCTATTGTGATTTGATTGTAATCATTGGCATGAATTTCTTGTGACCTGGTTTATTTATTTTTTAAAATACCCCGCTTACCAGGCTTCAGCCACCTCTTAACAGTTCTAGAACTGATAGATTTTACCACTTGGATATATATTTACATTCCCAGAATTCATTCCCTTTCCTGGTCCAGATCATCAGAAGGAAATTAATTAGATGCTCATTCTCTTCCTTTTGAAAAGAGCATGTCTGGTAATTAGCCACAGCATCGGATACAAAGCTCCATAAGAAATGCTGTAATTTTGGCTACGGGATTTAGGAATCCCAAGAGATGTTCCATTACACACACACACACACACAACCCCCAACTTTGCAGAATAATATAGTTAATCTGTCTTGTTTATTACATTTTCCTAGGGGAATATTATTAATCAAAGCTACGGAAAATCGAAGGTTGTTCCTTTTAAGATTAAGGATTCAAGTGCATACTCCTCGTCCTTTTTTGAGAACATACACGTGTCAACCCATTGCATGACACATAATTGCGTTGGATGTCTTTGGCGGGGCCATACCCCTTTTTAAATGGATTTGAGCCCCACAAATAACTATATCACCGGTTCTGATTATAGGATAAAATTAATTAATTTTATATTTTTTAAGAAATGATAGTTAGGATCATTAAACTTGTAAAAATGTTTGATATTTCAACCGTATCCTTCACAAAAATTATTAACCAAAACATTTGTATAAGAACAGAGATTCAAATCCACAACTACTTGATGATCATATTGTTGGGCTAATTTATTATTTAAAAACAGAGGATATATAATACAGATGCATAGCGTAAACATACATGTATAATATTAAAAGGAGGGATTTTGGTTGAGAAATATGAGACGAGGTTGATGCATGGATATGGGATCAGGGGTTGGGATAGTTGAGGTCATGGTCACTTCTGAACCAGCAAGTGTGAGTGAAAGTGGCTGCATTTTCAGGCACGTCCTCCATCACCCCCTCTTGGCCTTTCGGGACGTATATTCCTGTCCTCGAATGTGGAACCCACACCGCCGTCGTCCCTCCTCCCACTGCGTTCCCTCTTCCTCTTGAAGAAATCTCGTACCTTTCTTCTTCTCCGCCGCCGCCGCCGCCGCCTCCTCCTCCTCCGGCTTTCCCGTACACCTTGCTCACCCCACTCTTTCCTCTCTTTGCTTGTTCTCTGTTCCACCTTCACAGTTTCAATATATATTCCTTGTGTCAGTTACATCACCTTCCTATGCTTGCTCTGCTCACAACGCTGACTCATCCTCTCGCTTTCAGTAATTTTTAATTCAATTCTCGTTGTAAGACTTTAACGGAATATGGCTTGCTTTAATGTTATTTTATTTTAATATGCTTAATAAATTTTTTATTTATTATGTAAATCTAATATAAAGATAATCTCTTTATTTCTAATCTGTAAAAAATCAATTTATAATTTAAAAAAATTATAAATTTAAAGAAGATGATATCAAGTTGGATAGATTAGCGAAACTTAATCAAATATTTCAAATAGAAAATTTACCAAGCAAAAAATTACGGAATAAAATTTAAATATGAGGACTAAATTATAGAGTAATTTGATTATAAAATTTTGAAACTTAAAAAAAATAATTTAAAATAAAAAACTGGGTGGACCAAAAAAAAAAAGAAAAGCAAGCTAGGTCAGCATATGTAGTACTTTTAGTTACAATATAGTATCTCCAGAAAACATAACCGAAAAAAAGAAATAAACACATATAGAGGCTTAGATGAGATAGACGATTGGCAATATGCACTGGAAGAGTTTAAAACTTAGAAGTCTGGGAAGCATGTGAGGAAATTGAAATATTTGAAGAAAAATACCTGAGGAGCAGCAAGTTTGGTTTGGTGAATAAACCTGCTCTTGCCATGAAGAACAAGCAAAGCGTGTGGCCTGGTTTTGATTCAATCTGAGGGTCTCTCAAATCAAAAGACTTGTTAAGATCATTGGCGAGGGAGAGGCTAATGGGGTATTTATAATGAGGATCGTGCAAGTAGTATGCAGCTATATTACGGATGGAAGGAACAGAATAAGTTCTAAAGCAGCAGTAATGAGAGGAAACGCACAAATTCACATAGGGGACGACAAGTGTGAAAATTAATCTGCGGTGACAAACTAAAAGGGGCTTTATTTAAGAGAAATGGATTGAAAGGGGCCGTGTCAATTGAAAGTGGAATTTTGTCGGGGCCGAAGGGGGAGGGAATAATCAAGTTGTAGCTGATTATGGGGTGAAATGCGCGTGCATTAATTAATTAATTACAAGGGAATCTCCATGAAGCTTCTTCCATCAAATAAACAGTGTGGCAAAACTCGACGGATGCTAATTAAATTAATTGGCAGCTCGCAGCTATCAGCAGCTTTATACATCCACGTATTATGTATTCCTTGTACGTGACATCTTCAATGAATTATTCACTCTTTCTTTACCCGCTCTCTTTAATTTTTCTCTTTTCCCTTTTTTCAGCTTCGACCCTCCAAGTTTCATGCATGCCAAGAAAAAAGAATGAAATCACGCGTCTCGTTTCTGAAGCTTCGAAGCTTAATCAGGATATAGTCTTTTTGGTTTAGAAGAAGGAATGTTGCATTTGGATAGATGATGGGGGTTTGAATTTGAATTTACATCAAATTTCTCATTTATGTTTAAAAAATTGATGAGCTTAATAAATTTAATTTGATTTACAGTTAGTTTGAATTTGTAAGCTAGTTATTATGCTAAAGACAATTTAGATTTAAAAAAAAGAGTTAAAATACAAATTTGTCCCAAAAGTTTTTTTAGAGGCACAATTGGATGGCATTTTAAAATATTTAAAGGCACAATATTATCCTAATGATATTTTTTAAAATGGTACAATTTTTTTTCAAGTTGACACTTTGAATACATTGATAATTTATTTTGACTTTTTTGACTATTAAACGCCTTGAAGGCAATCCACATGGGTTTGAAGGTGAAATCTTTTCTTTTAATCATGGCCATGTATTCAATTCATTTTCTCCTTCCTTCCTTCATCATATATCTTCCTTGACTAATATCTGGAATTTCGATCAACTTCAAATCCAAAAAATAAAACATTCACCAGCTATCATGAATGAAATAACAATCGCTAGAACGTAGGTGGAATAAAGACCAATAGGGTACGGTGAAATCAAAACCAAAAATCAAACCAAAATGCAAAACATCATGGTTGTAATGAACAAACAAAAAGCATAAATCAAAAGAATTATTGAAAAACCAAACCAGCAATCAAAAGAGCAACTTGGGTTCGTGAGCCTGAAATCAAGGGGTTGACAAAAATCAAAACCAAACCAGAAATTAAAAGAGCAACTTGGGTTCGTGAGCCTCATATCAACACCAATTTTTCTTGGTTTAAGTTGGATGAACCCCCTCAATTTTTGATTACTGATCTCTTCCTCGATGACGATAGAAATATCATTTGAAACGTTTTAAAAGCCTGAAAAAGGGTATAATTGCTCAATGGGTTGCATCATTTCAAAGACAAAGTTCAAAATGGGTCTCGCTTGGACATTGAAAAATAGCACCATGTTGGCTACAATCACCCAATATTATGGTTGATTTGTTAAGCCACTAGAATTTGGGAACATCAAGAAGGGTCTCGATGTGTTGGTCCTACCTACTAGCCATAAAGGGACAAGACCTCTTGAAGCAACATTGCCGTTGCCTCCACCTTCTCTGGTGATGTCAGCCTTGCGGTTCAAATCTCCTACTCAAGTTTTTTAGCCTTCCATCAATACTAACTTTGATGATAGCGATATCTAGGCTTAATACTTTAACCCCTTCTCCATCTTCATCCTCGAAGTTTCTTCTAACCCCTTCCTAAAATTGACCTTCAATCCATTCCTAATTACTGGTTTTGTTTTGATTGTTGGGTGGAGGAAGAATTGGGAGAGTAATGAAGAAGGAATTGATAAAGAGAGATGGGAGAAGAATCGATAAAGATATATATATATATATATATATATTATGTGTGTGAAGAAGGAAGATGAAAGAGGGGGAAGTCAAGAAACCAGAGTTGTCAATTGACAGTTAAACTTCAAGGTCTATCAACATAGGGCACAATGGTGTTATTTTGAAAAATATCACATTGCATCTTTTAATGTTTTAGGATATTGACTTCACCTCCAAAAGAAATTTCAGGGTTAGATAACCCTTGAAAAAATTTTGATGGCCAAAAAAATATTATAAAATTCTTTTATTACTCACATGTATTTTTATATTAAAAATATTTTATAAAAGTTATGAGTACATTTTTTGATAAAAATTTAAATTTAAATTTATCATATTATCAGAGATTCTGTTAGTCCCAACCTTTTCAGATCATATAAAGATATTTTTAAAAATTAACTTAGAGCCAGGACAATTTGTCTACAGTGTCACGCGCTGCGTCCACGGCACGGTCACCTGACTCCCCGTTGACTCACGCGTGTGGGGGAAAAACGGACATTGTCCTGAAATTAATAATAAATAAAATAGAAAATGAAAATAAAAATTAACGGGTGTTCCACGTCATCGACGCGCCGTGAAATCCAAGAGAGAGAGATAGAGACGGGCGAGTGTGTGAAGCGAGTGGAGCTGGCGATTTCCTCTCCGATCCATAATTGTTTGGCGAGTGAGGGACGGTGAGCACCAAACCCTAGCCTCCCAATTTCCGGACGTTTCGTCCCACTCGCGGGTATTCCCACTCGCCTAAATTTCAAATTGCAGAGCTCTGGGATCTTTCCGCCTATAACTCACCAAGAGGTTTTCCTCTCTCCCTCCCCCCCCTCTTATCTTCTTATTGTTTTTCTGCTGTTGCAATCTGTGTAGTCTGGGAAGAAAGAAATGATGAATCGTATGCTTTGTGAAAATTGTGATTGCTTCGTGTGGCTCTGGCTGCTTAGATATGCTGGGGACGTGAGAGTAATTGATATAACTTGACATTTTGTTTTGAGGAAAAATTGATTGAACTCAGAGTTCTGTGACTTAGAGGTCTGGAATCTTTGGAAATAAAGAAAGATTTGATGCGATGATCTCATATGCATTGATTTCAAGAAGAAGACAAATTACCATTTTGTGGAGGTGCCTAATTGCAGTTACATGTAGAAGCTTAGAACCGAGTTCAATGATTATGATCAGCATCCTATGAAGATAATTGTAGATAAGAGTTGAGAAGTGAGAACCCTATTCAACCTGGAGGAAAAAAATAATGAGAGGTCAACACTAAGGAGCTGGGATGAAATGTGATTTGTGATTAAGGAAGATGTGAAGGTTGTGGGATGTATACTTGGTTGAAACCTGAAAGGTAATTGTGGATTGATCAATAAAATCGTGGTGTTCTTTGGATTGACAGTAACAGTGTTTTGTCTTTTTGATTGATTGTTCTTAAATGGCATTTAGTTTGCAAAGTTTCAAAAAACCAAGACGACAAAAATTATGGACAATATATTAGGTGTTTACTATCAAATTCTTCAACACCTCTTGGTGAAGTCTTATTAAAAAAGTTTCTCTACATGTTATGTTTTCATTTGACAACATGATAGAAAATGATTTAGGAACTCTAAGTTTTATCCAAAGCTAGGGGAACCATTTCAATCTTATATTTTTATATTTTGTTATTTATCAATTATGCTTCGGAGGCTTATGACATGATTTGTTGCTAACTTTATTGCAATTATAATAAGAAACATCCTTATTTTATGTGTACTATACTAATATTAACTATTAATTGTACACTGTTTCTTTACCTTTGCCTCTGGTGTCATTGTAAATTGTAAATTTTTATGACTAAATCTCATCACTGTACTGATGAAACATGTTATTTTGTTGAAATATTAACAACAGGCCAGAGCAGAGTGTATACTGATGCAATGAGTAAAAATCTGGTTGATGCTTTGCATGAAGTGCATCACACGGGTGGTGATCTTGTTGTTAATCCTAAAAAGGATGTTCTGTCGTATGAAGGGGACAGAGATTTTGAGCCACACAAGGGCATTGAATTTGATTCTCATGAAGCAGCATATTCATTTTATCAAGAATATGCCAAATCTATGGGATTCACTACTTCAATAAAAAACAGCAGACGTTCAAAGAAAACCAAAGAATTTATTGATGCCAAATTTGCATGCTCTAGATATGGATTTACTCCTGAGTCAGATAGTGGGAGCAGTCGAAGGCCAAGTGTAAAGAAGACAGATTGCAAAGCCTGCATGCATGTGAAGAGAAGGTCAGATGGAAAGTGGATAATTCATGAATTCATAAAGGAGCATAATCATGAACTTCTACCAGCTTTGGCGTATCATTTTCGGATTCATAGAAATGTGAAGTTAGCTGAAAAGAATAACATTGATATATTGCATGCTGTTAGCGAACGCACCAGAAAGATGTATGTTGAAATGTCCAAGCAATCTAGTGGCTGTTATAATTTGGGGTCTCTTCTCAGTGACATAAACTACCAGTTTGAAAGAGGCCAACATTTGGCTTTGGATGAGGGAGATGCTCGAGTTATTCTTGAGTACTTTAAGCACATTCAAAAGGAAAATCCTAGCTTCTTTTATGCTATTGATTTGAATGAAGAGCAACGGTTGAGAAATTTGTTTTGGGTTGATGCAAAAAGTAGGAGTGACTATGTCAGCTTTAATGATGTAGTTTCATTCGATACTTCTTACATCAAAAGCAATGATAAGTTACCATTTGCTCCTTTCGTTGGAGTGAACCATCACTGTCAACCCATGTTGCTTGGATGTGCATTGGTTGCTGATGAGACTAAACCAACATTTGTTTGGCTGATGAAGACATGGCTTAGAGCAATGGGTGGGCAAGCTCCTAAAGTCATAATCACAGATCAAGACAAAGCCTTGAAGGCAGCAGTTGAAGAAGTCTTCCCAAATGCACGCCATTGCTTTTCTCTGTGGCATGTACTTGATAGGATACCTGAAAATCTTTCTATGGTGATAAATAGGTATAAGAATTTCTTGCCAAAGTTTAACAAGTGCATTTTTAAGTCTTGGACAGATGAAGAGTTTGACATGAGGTGGTGGAAAATGGTCACTAGATTTGAACTTCAGGATGATATATGGTTTCAATCATTGTATGAAGACCGGAAAAAATGGGTGCCTACTTATATGGGGGATACCTTTTTAGCTGGAATGTCTACTGCTCAACGTTCTGAAAGTATGAACTCTTTTTTTGACAAATACATTCATAAGAAAATTACCGTTAAAGATTTTGTGAAACAGTATGGGACGATTCTTCAGAATAGGTATGAAGAAGAAGCCATTGCAGATTTTGATACATTGCATAAACAGCCAGCACTCAAGTCTCCTTCTCCTTGGGAAAAACAAATGTCAACAGTTTATACACATGCCATCTTCAAGAAATTCCAAGTTGAAGTTCTGGGTGTTGTTGGCTGTCATCCTAGGAGAGAAGGTGGGGATGGAAGCATTGCAAAATTTGTAGTTCAAGATTGTGAAAAGGAGGAAGAGTTTTTGGTCACTTGGAATGAGATGAACTCAGAGGTTTCTTGCTTCTGTCGATTATTTGAATATAAAGGTTTCCTTTGTAGGCATGCATTGAATGTTCTCCAACTTTGTGGCTGTTCAAGTATTCCATCTCACTACATTTTAAAAAGGTGGACCAAAGATGCAAAATGTAGGTTATCAATGGTAGATGGAACTGAAAGGATCCAAACTAGGGTGCAACGTTATAATGACTTGTGTAAAAGAGCTATTGAATTGAGTGAAGAAGGGTCCTTATCTGAAGAGAGTTATGATGTTGTTTTCCGTGCACTTGTTGATGCCCTGAAGAATTGTGTACATGTGAATAATTCTAACAACAATAATGTAGAAACCAGCAACAATACACTTGCCCTACGTGAAGCAGAAGAAAATCAGGTCAACATTGCTGCAAAAACAACTAAAAAGAGGACACCAGCTAAGAGAAGAAAGGTCAGTTCCAACTTTTGCAGTAGACCATTTATGTTTTATTTTTGTTACCTCAGCTTTTTAGCATGCAATAAAGGGGAAATTAATTCGAGAATCCTTATACAGGTACAAGTAGATACAGACATGATGCTTGTTGATGCACAAGACAGCCTGCAGCAAATGGTTTGTGTTACTTCTGTTTCAATTATGATCTGATATGGCTTTCTGGACTTAACAGACAGCATTCAATTTATTAAGAATTGCACCAAGATATTCATGGATATCTTCCTCATTATATTAAATATGGAAACAGATCTATTGTATTCAATTCCACATTTGCTTGACTATGTAACTTTCATTCTCTTAGGATAACCTTAGCTCGGATGGAATGACCCTTAATGGATACTATGGTGCCCAGCAAAATGTGCAAGGACTGGTATTATCAATTTTCGTCCACTACATATATCTTGTATTTTAAGAAATAATGAACTGCTTAACCAATTATCTTGGTTTTTTTTGGTAGGTACAGTTGAACTTAATGGAGCCTCCTCATGATGGTTACTATGTTAATCAACAGAGCATGCAAGGCCTTGTAAGTCATCTGTGCCATGATTACAATTTTTACTTATGAATTAATGTGATTACATAGGATTTTAAATCTGATTCGCATATTCTTGTAGGGCCAATTGAATTCTATGACCCCAAGCCATGACGGGTTTTTCGGGACTCAGCAAAGCATTCATGGGCTGGTAGAGTACTTCTTATTTTTCATTTCTGGTGGAAATGTTTGGAAATTTATTCATTTGAGTTACTTCAGCATGATGAAATTTTGAATTTTCCTAGCTCTGTTTTTGTTTATGTAGGGGCCGTTGGAGTTTCGTCCACCAACTACTTTTGGATATACCCTGCAGGACGAACCTGATCTGAGATCTGCTCAATTTCATGGCAGCAGTTCAAGAAACACGTAGAATTTTTGTCTCCCGACTACTGATATGGTAGCTTCCTCATGGAGGTTTTCAAGTTTCCTTCAGTGAGAATGAAAAACCTTGACACAAACATTTATCTTGACAACAATACGAATAGGTTTGTCATATAGCTCAACAGTTTCTAAAGGTATTTTGAAATTTAAATCGAAGTTCCTGTAATTATCTTTCCAGTCAAACTTTTCCTTGTATATATATGAAGGCAGTCCCATTCACCTTCCTATGATATACATGGGAGGTGCAAATTGTAATTTGGGTAGAGATATATGGGCTCCAAGAGGCTTTGCTTTTGGAGTGTATGTAATTTATAACAGACATTTTAGTTTCATTAGTTCCATATTCATGTTGGATAGTGAGACTATCTATATCTGGTGCGTTCCTGCAAAGAAACTGATATGTATGTCTTTTCCTGTTTTCACATGATAAGGCCAAGGCCCAAAAAGAAGGAAAGTAACGAGAAACTAAACTCGGGTGGTAATGGTAACACCTGAAAATCTGTGCATGTTAAGCTAAACGTTTCCTCACAAGCAAACCAATTTACGCGTCAATTCCTCTTGCGATATATGCCTCAAAGTTTATACTCGTATTTTATTATGATTTAGGATTGCAAGGCAACCAATTTCTCCTCCCCCCCCCCCCAATTTAAGCTTTTCAATTTATAGAAATGCCAGCAAATCAGAAGTTTTCCTGTAAATATTTTTTTTATTTCACATAGATAAATTTATAGAAATTTTGTTATTAAACTAAATTAATTTTTAGCAATACAAGATAATCTTCAAAGTTCTAATATAGGATTGACGTCATATTTGATTTTAATAATTTTTTTAAATTGAAAGGAGGCTGCAGGGGATTGATCCCACCATCTCCCCTGTGCATTGCTATTAGGGCAATGCAGCAAGTGCATTTTAATAATTTAATATCCAGTAATTATCTATCTACTCTCTCACCCTCACGATTTGCGGCTCTCTTCGTAGAAGAATATATATATATATATATATATATGAAAAATATATTTGTAAATTATTATGAAAATTTTATTGAATTATTTAATTTAAATGATGAAGTACTCATTCAAATTTTTTTCCATTTGATCACCACAACTCTTTTAGAACCAATGCAAATGCGTCAGCTTATACTTTACCTCAAGCGTTTTTCTTATTTCAAACTATTTTCTCCAGTATTTAACTAATTCTGAAAAATAGGAACAGACGTAACGTTATCTTTGATTAATATATTTCAGATTTAGAATATATTTACTGAAAACAAAGTTCATACCACTATATAATAAATTAATATGGAGTTTTTGCAAATATAATCAATGTTATAAGATTAAATCAAGCGAACAGTTCAACGTTTATTATATTTTGCATTATAACTGATTTATTATATTTATCAATGATATAACATAATATTTAGTTAAAAAAAAGATATATTATTATATATTAATGATAAACTTCTTATAAATTTTTAATGATAAAGTCTTTATATATCAATAAAAAATTCCTTACATATCAATGTGCCATACTCTTAAATTTTAAAAAATTTAGTTCATATTTTCTGAGTATAAGGTTTTTTTTTTTGGGCCAGTGGACTAATTTATCCAATTATAATTATGCTGGCCAAAAGACAATAATTGTGAAAGAAAGTGCTTCTTATGGACAGGAAAAAAAATTAAAACAATAATAAAGAGCAAAATTAATTTAAAGGACCGTTAGAAGGTGAGGGGCGACGAACGTAACGGCTAGTTTTTATTTGTAAAAGCAAAGATTGGCCTTATTCTGTCCTCTAGAAACACTTCCATATCGGCGATTCATATTTTCGCACCGTGCATACATTCTCTTCGATTTCGTTTTTTTGATTCCTCACTTCCATATTTTCGTCTCTATCGCTCTTTAATATTACGAAAGGATTTGCCATGGATCTTGGCTGTTTGGACCTTGGTTGTCTCTCTCCGTCAGAGAATCAGCGCTCTGATCCCGAGGCTGCTAGCAATTCTCGAATTAAAGAAGATTCCGGCGACTCCATCTCTGCAAATTCCAAGATTGGGAAGGTAAGTCTTCTATTTCCTTCAATTACATTGTCAAGATTTCATTGTGTCCTGGTGCTTTCGGATTGTTTTCTTATTCGCTTTTTGGATTCATCGTAATTAAAGTCTTGAACAAATAAATCAATCTAATGTTTAATTTTCGGATTCAAAGCCCTAAATGCATGACCATAGAGTCGCAAGTTTGAACTGATTCCAAAACTTAAGCGGAGGAACAGTGGGATTAGCTATTTATAGTCTTTAGGCTTGGCCTTAAAGAAGTCCCAGTCGAGTCGAGAAATAATTAAACCAGAAAAATCTGTCACACTTTCATCACTAGTAGGAAGCTGAATTCATGGTTTATTCATAGTTCAAAATGCATTGCTTAAAGTGAAGGAAAGGAAACAAATAACAAACTTATTTTAAGACACGGGATGACCTGTCCTACTGTGTACTTCGTGGCATAATTGGATTTCAGTGAATTTGAAGTAAAAGTGACAACCATACTCGCTAATACTGCTGGCAGATTATATTATCATTTAGTATTGACATTCTGAAGATCTTACTTGATTTCTTTGCCTTTACAGGCTTTCTTAGCTTTGCAACAAAACGTTTGCTTGAGTCTCACCCAGCTGTTCTTGTTTTTTTATTTTTTTTTAAATTTTGAGCAGAATAAACTGAGCAGAGAGGCTAGCCAATCAATATCAAGTGCTCTTAACAAGTTCTCATCACAAATTAAAAAGCCTCCTCATCGTAAAACCTCTCCAGTCAATTGGTTCCCCCGCAAAAAAGTGGACTCCTACTTGAAGAGAAAAATTGAAATGTTGCAGGTTTTGCAGCGGAAACATAATTCTTAAGTGAATCAGATTTTTTCCTAATTGAAATGCTAACGTGTCTAACTTTTTTCAGGAAGTAGCTGGTATGAATTTGACACTTGATCAGACTCTAGGAAGTTCTAATCCACATTATTCAAAAGTACTCAAAGAGAAAATGGCAGCAAAAGAAGCGGTGCATAAGGCAATGGAGGCTCGAAGAGCTGCATTGGTAGAGGCCTCTTGGTGTCGGATTCTTAGAGCTGCTAGGTAAAATGTTTCCCTTAAAGAATTTATGATTAGGCGTTATTGTCTTCTCATTTCTCTATCTGACCTTCTATTGTTTTCAGGATTCCTAGTGAAGACGCAGAAGCTAAACTTTCAAAGGCAGAAGAAAATGCATTGGAAGCTTTTGAAGCAGCCCAGGCCCTGGGAGTAATCATGTATGACATGATAAACTGCCCCAGGAAGCGTTGTCAGATAGAAACATCTACTGTTACAAGCGAAGGATCATCCACCCATACTGTTACTGCCTCTTTTGAAACTGAATTTGAGGTAGACAAAGAAGTAGCAGCTGCAGTCAAAACTGCTTTCATAAGGCTAGCAAACTGCCCTTCATTTAAGAAAGACGAATTCGGAGAACTTCTGAGAAAAATTAGTCAAAATCCAGATACAGATGATAGTTCGCAAGACTTGCATGATTTCTCGTCAGAGTTTGAGTCTGAGTCTGGCTCAGAACATGATTTAGCCTCTCAAAATAGCGACTTCAGTTGTCAAGAGTTAGACTCAAACATGCCAATTCTTGGGATAAGTCAGAGGAAAAGCAGGAGGAGACAGTCTCTCGAAAAAATTAACAGAATAAAGCTTGTGGACATGCTGATTGAGAGGCTAAAATGTTTGCAAGAAGATGAACTTTCTTCTCTGGCCACTATAGTTGCAACTTGCGGTTTAAATTCTGTCTTGGCTGAAGCACAGAATATTAAACTGGGCTCTGCTACAGATCATAGCTCCTCTTCAAGAATAAATTTTCCAGCAAGAAGGATGTCTACATTGGGATCGAGAAAGCCATATTTTGTCATGGACGGGCAAATGAGAAATAAACAAGCTGAGTCAAAATTGCCAAGTCTAGATAAGTTTTTAGTGAAGCGCATGACTAAACTTGAACGAGAGGTTCAAGAAGCCAAGAATAGCAGAAGCAATGAGACAGAGACAGAGACAGAGACAGACAGGGATGGCCCTCGTAAATCTGTTGATGGAACTCCATCTGAGACCATACCAGACTTGGGAAGCATTCTTGTCAAGAATTATTCAAAATTTGAAAAAGACATGAACGAGGCAAAAAATAAGTCTGGAAAGGAAATCTCGAGAGTCCCACTCGGGTTGCCAATGCCAAACCGTCGGAAAGATCATGCTGAAGTACCGAGCTTAGACAAGTTCTTGGTCAAACATGTCTCCAGACTTGAAAGGGAAGTCCAAGAAGCAAAATGCATGAAGGTAACTGAAACTAAAAGTTTGAAGAAGAAAGCTGATATGACTACCATAGGTGGAATAAATTCTCATTCTTGTTCTGATGGATCATTGGAGGAGAAAGAAAATCTGGATTTAAATAACCGTTCGAGTACTGAGACAGAGCAAAATGGATGTAAACTCAATGCAGATACATCTTCATTTGTTGGAGTGAATGATGGGATTGAAGATAACAAAGATAGCCTGGACAAGATTCTGGTAAAGCCAGGGCACAGATTGGAAAGAGAGAAGATTCAGGCCATGTCGCAGGGAAGCCATGATGAAAATTACAGACAACGAAAGAATCAGGGAGTAACCAATGCTACAGATTGTGAGAGCTTGGATAAGATCCTAGTAAAGCATGTCTCCAGACTTGAGAAGGAGAAAATGAGGCTCAAGTCAGAGGAAGACAGGTTCGAAGTTAAGCGAAATCAGCGAAACACACATTTAGAGACAAATGAAGAGGGTGGTCTCGACCAGATCTTGATTAAACATAAATCCAGACTCGAGAGGGAAAAGATGAAGGTCAAGCCAGAAGAAGAAAGGTTGGTAACGAGAAGTCAAAGAAGCAACCGTTTGCTGCAGACAAATGAAGAAGGAAGTCTGGATCAAATTTTGGTTAAACATAAACCTAGACTTGAGAGAGAGAAGATGGTTGCTTCGCCGCAACAAGAGAACACAATTAGTCACTCTATGATTCGTCGAGAAGAAAGGGAAAGAGAATTGCAAGAAGCATGGGGAGGATTAAGCTTAGGAAACTCCATGAAGCCTAGTCTCTCCAAACTTGAGCGAGAAAAGGTTAGTCTTAAAAATCTTTTCCCTCTAATATTCTCAAGTTTCACTGATTTTCTATTTTTTTCTTTTTGACTCTGTTGGTTTTACTTTTGCTTAGGCTGCCTGGATTAAAGCTGAAGAGGAGGCAATGAGGAAAGAGATGAAGGCAATATGAATAAAAGCCCCCCCCCCCCCAAAAAAAAAAAAAAACAATAGCAAGGACCATCAACTGTATGTTTCTTCTTCGGTGAAATTCTCTCTCTCTCTGTTTTATTCTTTTTTTTTTTTTTTTGAAAGAAGTCAGCTCTTCGTTGAAGTTGTTAGTTCTGGCCTATTGCTAACTACGTTGACTCAGCAATGGTTCGTAGTTTAATTGCTTTCCATGCCATTCATATATGAAAAAACCCTTGTCAATAGCGGGTGTAACAGGTCCTTCCAATGCAAGGATCCATCAGAGGGAGAATATAGGTTTACTTGAAATCATAATTCAAAATTTTGAGGCAAAGAGTTGACAGGGATACCGGAAGCTTTACAATAGGAAGAGATAATAATGACGTGTATAAATGGGTTTGATATCACATTTTCACTCAAAATCTTATCCATAGCAAGTGTACTAGGCGCTTTCAATTTGAGGATACATGAGAGAGAAAAATATAAGTGTTTAATAATTAATATCATATTTTAACTCAAAATTTAAGACAATGAGCTTTTGACGATACGAGGAGGCATGAGAAAAAGAATATAGCTATGTTAATTTAAAATTTTGAGACAATGAGTTTTTGTAACAGGTGCGTTATAATATAAAGATGCATGAAAAAATGTATGTGGGTTTAGTATCTTATCTTATCTCAAAAATCTTAAAACAATGAGTTTTTGTATCCTTTCACTTAAAATCTTTATCTAGCTAAATTTTATTTAACATGAGAGTTATTTCTATAGCAAATCAAATCTTGTGTTTGACATCCAATAACACATAGGAAGGTAAAATTGGACAGTAAATAAAAATCTAGTTCCTTGGAAAGTTTTTTTTTTAATTTATAATTTAATTATTTAACTTTATTTGTCTCAACCTATTACAATGTTGCTTTTCCAAAAAAAAAAATCCTCTATTTAAAATAGTTCATGCAAAAAATTAAATATTACAAATATTCACTATTTTAGCACATATATTTTCTCCATTTATTGGGAATCAAGAATTCATTATGTGAGTTAAAAACTTAAAGAAAACATAGCTTTAAGTTTCTGCACTTTGTTCAAGTTTTGTTATAGTTTTTAGGTCCTTATACTTTTATTTTTTAATTCTAGTAGATTCCTTTATGAGTGGTGTTATAAGGACCTAGAACACATAAAAAAAGTACAGAACATATAGTAAAATTCGAGCAAAGTGTAAGGATTCAAAATTATGATTTTTCAAAACTCGAAGTTAAAATTTGGTATTTACTCCTTCTATCCCTTATATAAAATATTTTTTAGAATCTTATTTTGCCTCTAAATATAAGAAGTATCAATGATATTTTTAAGTAATTAGATAATTTTGGTCTTATCTTAAAAAATGAAAGAGGTATTACTTGTGTGCTTTACCCACCACAACCATATCAATTGTGATATTATTAAGGACAAAACTTAAAAATCATTATGATTTTATGCAATTTTAATAACAAACTTTATTGATATACGGCATTCAATTAAAAATGTCTTATATATGGAGATGGAGGGAGTATGTCTCATCAACAATATATTAATATTAATATTAAATATATAATGAATTCACATAAATCATCGTTCATTTCATATAATATATAAAAAGACATATTTAATCAAATATATTAAATGAAAATATGTTTTTTCTATTATTTTAATTGTATAAATATAAATATAATATATCTAAAAATAAATAGGTTTCTGGCAAGAAAAATAAATAGGTGAATATACAATTTGGTTACATTTATCTCATGATATATTAGTTTTCACCTACATGATAATAAAGCGATGATGGATGATTCGAAACCTTATTTAGGTAAGAAATTAATTATACAAAAATAATAAAATATAAATAGCAATAGTACATGATATTAAAAATGAATTCCATTTGCAAGAAACTATGAACGGCGGGTGATAGATTTTTAATAGAATGGATCCAGTATATTTCGTTTTTTTTTTTAAATCAAGAAGCAAATTTAATTTTATTAAAAAAACAAGTAAAAAGATTACAAACGTTAAAGCTCTAGAAAAAAGGAAAGCTATGCCCAACACATTAAAATGTAAAAGAACATACTTTTTTTCAAGTAATACTGGATAACTTCATTCATGAAAGAATGTGTAAGCTTAAATACGGAACAAAACCTAGGGGGATAAAACAAAAGTAGAAACCATCCCAATCAAGTAATGGGAGGTTGATAGTACAAATTAACATCATTATTAAGGTTAAAAGTTGACTTCACTAAAAAAATCAGCCATATTATTTGTTTTATACAAAAAATAAAATTAGACATCTCAATTTTTAATCAAAAATTTTCTTGTAGAATCAATAATATATTAAGAAATGTAGTATTTATGGTTGTCCTTTTGTGATTGTGGAGATAGAGTTCGCACAATCACAATTACAACAGACATCCACAATTCTAAAGCCTTTTGTATAGGTTAAGGCCATTGAAAATGCTAAAAATCTCAGAAATGGTAGGTGGTATTTGCCCCACCTTGCAGTGAAAACCCAAAATCCAGTCGTGTAAGAGAACATACTAACCAGAACCTAAAGAACAAAGGAAAAACAACAAACAAGGACAACTAAAACTGCAACAAAAAGGTGATCAACCCGCCAGCTGTTCTGTGGAAACTGGAAATGCGAGTGGCAGCGAAGAGAACCCAGTAAGCATGCTAGCTTGGTAGTGCTTCTAAATCTCCTTTCATTCAGACTCACCAAAGAGTCGATGGAGTGTGAAGCATGGTAATGATTCCTGTAAGAAAAGAAACTCCATTACTGCCAAGAGTACAATGAAGAGTTGTAGGCAGTCGTATCACCATGAACTTGCCAACAAGAATGAAAACCTGAAACACAAAACATCCAGACTGGCTGCTCTCCAATGTGGGTCTCTGAGCGTCGAACGGCTTGAATGAACATGCGTTTGCATGTGTGATGACACTTGAAGTGGTTTGAGTAGACGAATGATGTGGCTTGGAAAGTTCATCGCCCTTTTCTTTATTTTCTTTGGAGCCTCGCAAGAAAACTGACCCAGTCGAAATACCAGGATGTGTTTCTCGTATTCCGTCCTATCAGCAAAACCTTGTACTTCTTTACTCGGAAGTCTTGAACGAACACTCCAGAGGTGCCTGGAAGATGCTCTCCCTTCAGAAAATACCGCTTAATACTAGCCCCTCCTCTGTACATTTTGCTCAAGCTGAGTTGAAGAAATATTAAAGGTATGGTCTGGTCATATTTCGTTGGCCCGAGGGGAAAAAAGAAGAAGAAGAAGAATGGATCTAGGAAAACTAGGATTTGAACGAATAAAAATATATTTAGAATGATACTCCTCTGTTATTATTGATAAGTTACAATTAATTATTTTACTAAAATTAAAGAGATATAGTTAAATTATTTTAATTATTTATATGTATCTTTTTATTAAAAATAATCCTATTTAAGATTAATACTTTTTTTTTATTAAACTCAACTCTCATTAGTTAAATTATTAATATTAGTTAAAAATTTTCTCAATTTATCTTTATTAAATATATACTCCTCATCCTGGCCACACTACTGGCCTCGAAAATGCAAGCTGCAAATATAGACAGCAGCATTTATATAAAGCTTTGGCATGTGAGATAAGTGGGTAGAAAGAGTAAATGAAGGTCGTGGTGCAAAACTGTAAGTTGACATAAAACTTTGCCATGTGAGATTGGTGGAATGGAACTACTGTTGAGGATATATTGATGATGATTGTAGTTACTCTAAATCAATAGTTCAATTTATATACTTGCGTGGTTTTGCTTTCCATACTAACAAATTTTGTAATTTAATAAATATTTTCATTCAAAAAATTTTTCTACACTTTGTTTGTTTTATGAAAAAGTTTTAATCTTGTTTCATCTTAACTTAATCTCATATGAGGCAAGATAACTTTTGAAATAAAATGAGAAACGAGATAAAAAATTAATTTCATTCATTTTTGAAGATGGGATACAAAATAAGAGTATACTGGTTCCATCCGATGAACACATCCATTTTTTACTCTCAATTTATCAAAAATTATGAAGGAATAAAATTTAAGAAAAGTAATTAATAATTAATTTTTTATGTAAAATAACTTATAAAAAAGACTGGAGTTAGGAGGAAATATGTTTATTGAAAATTTTATATTATATATAAAAGTTATATTATATAAAGATTTATTTAGAATATATATTCTTAAGCAAGGAAATTGCATATTATTTAAATTACAAATTAAAAAAAAAACTTGAAAAGTATTAGTAATTTTTAGCAGGGGATGATGGTTCTAGAATGTAACTTCAGCCGTTTGTTTTGTATTTCCTCTCCCTCTTCGTGACCATAGAGTCAATCTCCTTCCCCTCGGCTTAAAAAAGCCTCAAGGCTTTGGTTTGATTTGCTCCTCAGTTCTCGTCTACCTTCAATCCGGCAACCATGGGAGGAGGCAACGGTCAGAAGTCCAAGATGGCTCGTGAGAAGAACCTTGAGAAGCAGAAATCTGCTAGGGGTATTCTTTCTTTAGTTTAGATTTATCCCTCTTTATGTTGTCTGGTCTTGTTGTGCCTTTGAACAAAATCATAGATCTGTCTATTTCTTGTCTGAATTTTGCTGCTTTCGCTGAATCTAATTGTCTAGGAAGCCAGTTAGAGTCCAACAAGAAGGCTATGACCATCCAGGTAGTCTCTTTGCATGCTTTTCTTTGATTTTTCCTGTCTAAATTGTCCTTTGATTTTATATGTGGTCGGATTTGTTGTATGCAATGTGTTGCCTGAGTATTTCAGCTTTTGATCACAGAGAAATGGATTTTAAAATTGTTGAATTACCTTGATGGGGGATCCTCTTGTGTCCTTCAGTTTTGGTGATCAGTCTGTTGACTCTCCAGATCATGTGATTTATGCTTCTAGCTTGTGTATGAGTCATTATTTATGTCTATTGCAACTATAATTGGTAATCTTTGGTTTCCTCTGTAGGTGGCCTTGGCATAAGTACAACTAATATATATTCTCTTACCCATTTTATTTATTTATCTGTGATATCTCTTCTACAGTTCTACTCAGGGAATCATTAGTTGGCGCCAATTGTTTTAACTCCCTTCCTGTTTTCTAGTTTCTTCATGTTTTAGATAATATATCAGCATCTGCACCTGCATCTTGAACTGGATTTACAAACCTGTGCAATTTTGGAATAGTTATAAGCTATCGTTAAACTAGTTTTGACTACCCTATTCTTGTGGACCTTCAATGGTTTGCGCATTGTGGTCTCACGAACTTCCATATTTTAGGCTATATTGTTATATGAAAAATTTGAAGGTAGAAGGAGGATCTGGTCAACAAATAATATGTAGACTAAGCCAATAATAACAAGACATATTATTGTATCCCCTTTTGTGTGTGTGTGTGTGTGTGAGAGAGAGAGAGAGAGAGAGAGACAGACAGACAGACACACACACACACACACACACACAGAGACGATTATATGAAGCATTCGTTTGAGTGGAGCTTGTCTTTTACATGCTTCATTATCTATTCAAGATTGGATTCATTTAAGACAGATTTATCTGAAATATCTCGTCTATAGAAATAATCATTTAAATTGCGTGTGAGAGAAGTACACATTTTCTAATGTCAAGTTGGCAGCTTTATTCCATTTTAGAATCATGAAACAGTTTGCCAATGTTTCAGCAGTCCATTTCATTTTGCTTTTAAATTTTTCACATCTTGGAATCACTTGATAATGTTCTGCTCTTCTTGTGTTGGAAACTTTGAGCCACTTTATAAAGCCCTTTAACATAAATTGCTACTGTTTATTTTCTTCCTATAATCACTGTCTGTCTTATGGCTGGTTTATGGAATGACGAATCCGGGCTACCATGAATATTGAATGCAGTGCAAGGTGTGCATGCAAACATTCATGTGTACCACAACTGAGGTCAAGTGTCGGGAACATGCTGAAGCAAAGCACCCAAAGGCTGACGTCTATACATGTTTTCCTCATCTTAAAAAGTGACTGTTTGATTGCAAAGTGAGAGCTTGTGGATTGATATTTGGAGAACTTGCATGTATTGTACTTTGTTGTAACATGACAAACTTGGTTAATGGAGCTATCTATCTAATCGAGGAAGTCTTTATGCCCTTTCCAAATATAAAAACACATTTAACAAGGGCGAAAGGGAGGATCATTTTACCATGTTCTCGTTATCAAGTGTACTTTTTAACTTATTGGTTTTAAACTGAAATTGTGTCATAGTGAGGAAAATGCAACTATGCAGCATAAAAGTAAGAGTGTTGTTTGTTTTAGGGTATGATCTATTAGGCGCCTAGGCTTGTCACCTTCACCTTCATGCTAAGTCCTTTATTAGGGGAAATGTATTACCGTGTGAGACTTCATTTTCGAAGGATGGGTCACCTTTCTCTATGGTGGAAGGGATAGGTGCGGAGAGGGGTGTGTGTGAGAGGGGTGTGTTTGTATTTGATTCATTTTTTTTTTAAAGTAAGAGTTAGTAAAATGACAAATGATTTAACAAATGCACTTTGGATTTTAACAATTTTCTAATTACATTTTTAAACATGTTGATGTGTTATTGATGCTTGGAAAATTGACAAGTAAAAGTTAGCAAAATGACAAGTATTTTTTCTAGTTCTTATTGTAAGGTATATTTACCCAGTTTATTAGAATTATGGAAATGTATTTGAAAAAATATATATATATATATATATGTTACTCATATTTAAATCTGAAATTTATAAATTTGCATTATATTCTATCTTATTATCAATGATTATAAATGAAGGTAATACAAGAACAATTTAATTAATATCTTATAAAATGACTTATAATGAGGATGGAGGGAGTATAATTTAATCCTTTAATCTACTTTATGTTCTAATAATTTTTCTCATGCCTTTTCAAATTTGTTAGCGTGTATGTGACTCTCAAAAATTAACAAGTTAAAAAAAGGGAAAGTATAATAACGTTTGATAAGTTCGTTTCATATTCTAACAATTTTCAGCATTCATCAGTCATTTAAGTAACGCGTAAAAATCGAACATGGGAGCATTCAATCTAAATCAATCATCAATATTTATATAAAATATGAAAAAAAGTATGATTAACAAATTAGCAAATGAAATTATTTTAAGATTTCATGCAAATGTGCCTTCCTTTAGTATTCCGTATAAATGTATTGAGCATTGGTTGAGGAGTGAAATAACTACAGATAGGCATAGCTAAGAGCAGGGGTGGAGTTGGAAAATTTTGTTTGGGGAAGTTAAAAAAAAAGTATATATGGTAATAAAAAAATTAAATTTATATACATTACTAGCATAACATAAATACTTCAACCTATATATTTATATTTAATTTTACATATACATACATACATACATATATATATATAACAAAAACAAATATATATCATCATTTTTTTAATTTTTGCTCATTAATTTTTCATGATATAAGAATAATTGATTATGTTTACAATAAATTTTTTAATTTTTTTCAATATAAATTATTTTTAAATTAGTGAATATTTCATCTTCTCTATAAGCATTGAATAATTTAAATATATTTTTAAAAATTAAAGTTCTGTTCAATATAAAAACACTCTATTATTTACTGGTTGAATTTATTATTTAATTCTTTCAATTGATATGTCTTCCATTCAATATATGTTGTGATTTTTGTTGCAATGCCAACTGAAACGGTCACCAAATTCAAAAGATATATAAACCCTACCTATAAACAAAAAACAGACATCTTAATCCAAGATCTCTTCATTATGTTTCAGACATAAAGAGCGTGGAAAATAAACCCAAAGACCCCTCCATTACGTTAGACACATAAACATATCAAATATACTGTTTTTTTTTTTAAAAAAAAAAACGAAACATGCTAATATTTTAATTCATGTTTACAAAATGTGGTTAAGTGAATTACAGACCTTCAAATTTGCTACAAATTATGGCAAAACAGGAACCTACTAGCTTTGTTGTGAAGCACTATGCATCAAAGATAATTCTTCTTCAGCCTTGGAAGTCTTTGAGGTCCCAAGAAGCTCAACAGAATCCTCCTCCTTAATTTCTGGGTCATCCAGTTCTGACAAAACTGAATGAGATTGTAAACAGGCATCAGAAAGGAAGGAAGATGGTTCTGCTTCAAATACTAACCACTCTCTCTTTCTTGCTCGAATCAAAAGAGGGTAAAGGATGAATCCAACAGCAACTATTGCTGCACTTACAAAGAAGGTCCTCCAAGTAGCCAGACATATCACAAGAACAAGCAGAAGAGCAGAAGGCAGGCACATCATGGCCGCTCCAAATGTTTGCAGAGGAACTTTGTATGGTCTATGAAGATCCGGCCGCTTCAGCCGCAGTGCAATGAAAGCTGCAAGCTCAAGAAGCATTCCAAAAGCATATAAGTAATTGAGGAGTTCCACAATTTCCAGGAATGTCATCCATGACAAGAAGATAACTCCAATGGCTGAGAAGAGAATGCTGATAGTAGGTGTACCGTACTTGGACCTACAAAGTTATACGAAATCATTGCTAGAATGTTGAAGCTGTTCCATTCAAACAATCACTACAGTCAGATTTCATCTAGCACTTTTTTTTTTTTTTTTTTACACCAGCAGATTTCATCTAGCACTTGGTTAGGTCAGATCTAAAAGAACTGGTGCTAAAGAAATTTCAAAATCTCTTGAGAAAATTTCTCTAAATGCCTTTCAAAGTTGTTTAGTCTACATTCAGAGCGAGAGAAAGAGATGGAAACTAGCATACAAAGAGTTTAACAGCACAAGTTTTAATGTTTTTCATCATATTTCTATCCAAATATCTTATTAATAAGTTTAAAAGTCTACAGAGACTAAAGATTCTTGCGTAACAATAAAAAGCACCAGAAACACAAAGTACAATGCTTGGTTATCATTCGTCTATGAGCTAATAAGTGGAAAAAGACTATCTTAATGATCAGGATAGAACTAGTCTGGAAATGCAGATTCTAAGCCATATCAGTCATTCCTTGACAGATAAAAGAGGTTATTACCAATAAAATATAATTCTAGACATTATATGTCGAAGAAAGAAAAGAAAGAGTAAACGTGTATTCCCTGAATTATAAGATTAAGAAAGGAAAATCATGTAACGTTTCAGACCTTGAAGCAAATACAGCTGGAAGAAATCCCATCTTGCTCATCCCAAGAAGTTGAAAAGCATCAGAGGACATCTCTGCTTCAAACAAGCCAAGGTTAGACATGGCAGCAGCAACTTGAATCCATACTTTAAGCCAAAAGCCACCTATTGACATGCCAACTTCAGCGAAGTAACCATCTGCCCACTCACTAGGTACAGATCTGAAAGCACCAGTTCCAGCAAGAAGAGGAATTAAATATGAGGACATCACCAGAACCACAGCTCCAAGAAGTGCCTTTGGGAACGTTTTACTGGGATTGTCAATCTCCCCTGCAAGTGTACTTGCCTTGTCCCAATAGTTTAAATTCCAAAACATGCTATTAAAATATCCTCTCAAATCTACCACCTTGAAATTTACAATAAGCCAACGACTTGGCCTAATTCTCGGAATAGCAAGAACAGCCATTATCAGAAATGGGAGAAGGGAGAAAAGTGCAAGCAAAACAGCAGAGAACCCTACAATGTGCAGGCCACGGTAATTCAAGTAAGTGAGCAAAATGGTAATCCCTAAAAGAGCTGGGATTCTCGCAATCATTTGGTCAAAGACTGGCAACGAATGTTTCAAGTAATCCAAGAACAAAACTGGGTAAAGCGCGTTATCCATAAACCCACTAAACCATTTCCAGAATCCTTCCTGAAATCCCCAGAAAGGTCCAAAAGCAGATGATATCCAAATAACATATCCGCCATTGTCGGGGAAGCTTGTGGCAAGTTCTGCAGTTACCAGGGCTTCAGGGATACTCCAGATTAGAGGGAATATCAAGAAACCAAGTAATGACAAGAGAGGACCACCTCCAGCCCTAATCGAATCCTCTACTCCAAAAGGACCGCCAGATACTTCATAGAAGATCAGTGCTATGAGAGGCAACAATGTTAGTTTTGGATTCGATTTATTCACATCGCTAACCATTCCCAATTCACCCAACGGCTGAGAGGTCAGGGGTGATTATCGAAACCTTTTTGACTCACCCAGATGAATCAAGAACACAGAAGACCTGATTACTTTTATACATCGACGGTTCTCTGGCACCAAGAGGTCATTATAGTGTTCAATCTTTCAAGCTCAATCCTACTCAAATAGACACTGAAGCAGATCTTCTCATCAAAAGAAAAAAAGGGAGAAAAATTACCTGCTCGCAGGGACTACTTCTAAGCGAGGAGATGTTTTAGAGCATTCAGATTTCGGAATGAGTCACTAGATCCGTTTTGACCACGGATAAGAATCTTCCTTCAGCTTTCAAAGCATGAAGTTGCCAAAAGGGTTGACTTCCGATGATCGTGCTCTGGCAGGCCTTGCCTGTCCCCATCACGTGAAGAATCAATATATCAATTATACGTTTTATAAATTTAAGAATCAAAATTTTGTCTAGATTAACTAAAAAAAAAACATAACTTTAAATGTTAGTATATCTAAAATATTAAAAAATAAAAATATAAAAATTAAGAGTATAAAAAATATAAAAATTTATAATAAAATATGAACAAAATATAAAGACTCAAGGTTATATTTTTTTAAATTAAAATTATAAAATTTAAAGTTCAATGTCTATGAATTAAAATTTAAAAAACTAAAATTAATATGAATTAAAGTTTGCAAACTCAAGTTTTTTTTTTTTACCAAGCAAACTCAAGTTAAAGTGAAAGTCAATTATTATAATTTGATTCATATGTAAATATTTTTAAAAAAAATTAATTGAACAAACTAAAACATGCTTAAATGATATAATTCAAAAACAAAATTTAGATATATAATAGTTAAAAAGGATATAAATTTTATGATATATGTTTCATTTATTTTTTTGAAGAATTTCACGACCAAAATTTTATGATGCCCATTTATAAAAAGTTTATAGTGAAAATGACAATAAAAACACTCTAAATTATATAAATAATAATATGATCCTTTAAAATGTTATAATTTTATTGAAGTCTTTAGAAACTTCTGTATTAATAAATTTTAAATTAAAAGGATTTTTTTATTTTTATTGACAAATTATGATTTCTTGTTTAATTCTTACAATTCTTTAAATAAAAATTGTTATTCATTAAATAAAAGTTGTGATTGGGTTTGTTATTTTTAGAACTTGGTTTTACCAAAAATTTTGAGAACTTGTTTTTCAATAATAGAAATTATGCTTGACAAGTTTTGATTTCTTATTCAATTTTTGTAGTTTACAAAATAAAAGTTATTATTCATTAAGCAAAAGTTATGATTGAGATTTATTATTTTGATAACTTATTTTTTAATAATAGAAATTACATATGATAAGTTATAATTTCTTTTCAACTTTTGTAATTTACAGAATAAAAATTATTATTTTTTAAACAAAAATTATGATTGTGGTTTATTATTTTCAATAAGAGTAAAATAGTATTTTTACTTTAAAATTTATTAATACAAAAATTCTTAAAGGTTTCAGTAAAATTATGACATTTTAAGGGTGGTAGTTTGTTATTTATATAATTTGAAAGAATTTTATTATTATTTTTTCAAAATTATAGAGACAAAGTAGTGAGTTTAAATTTTTATTTTGTCGTTGGTGCTAAAATTCAGTTTCTAATATCCTATATATGAATTATAAGTTACTAGAGCGACAAATTTTAATCCATTTTATAAAGTGCCAAATGAAAGATTTATTCAGGTTAAAAAAAATGAACTATTTATTATTCTCTTTTTTTTTTCATTTTGCTTATATTTAATATTTTAGTTTCGTGCTTTTTTTAATGTGGCTTTATTGTTTTTCCTTTCTGGCCTGAGAATGCGGCTTGAGTTAATGAACAAAATAGATCTTGAACTTTTACTTGAAAAGCACCCTGAATTCTAAACTTTTAAAGTGTGAAAAATAAATTCTAAACTTTTAAATTCATAGCAAATTAAACTATATAGTTATCTTTTTTTTTAATATCATACTATTCACCATGGGCCCCAATTAATTAGTGTTACAGACCTTAAACTATTATGCGAGCAGCATCCTAAATCCTGAACTTTAAAATTTCAAGCAAATTATCCTCACCGTTTATGAATAGAATATTGACTATTATATAAATTAAATTAGTCTCAGCATAATTTGCTACGATGAATGCATCATTAGCTGTGGTGAACGACTCATAATTTTATAAAACCATATTTTTTGCCCCTTTTTTATAATATTTTCAAAACGATTGGTATCTCATGTTTCCGTATATTTTATAACTCTAATTTAGTCTTATTTAAAATAATGTTTGTTTATTTAATGATGAAAACTTGAGATCCCATTTGAAAAGAAGTTTAAGTATCATTATAGAGTATATGGAAGCATGAGATACTAATAATTTAAAAAAATATTGTAAAAATTGTTATTTTATAAAATTATGGATTGCTTGTGATGACCAACAATGCATTCACCGTAGCAAAATACACCAAGGCTAATATGATTTGCATAATAACTAACATTCTATACATAAATAATGAGAGTAATTTACTCGGAATTTTCAAGCTCAAAATCTAAGACACTACTTGCATAATAGTTTAGGTTATGTGATGCTAATTAATTGGGGCCTATAGTGAATAGTAATAGTGAACAGTAATGGTGTTAAAAAAAATAACGATAGGGTTCAATTTGTTACAAATTTAAAATTTTAAAATTTATTTTACACATTTTAAGAGTTTAGGGTTCATGACGTTTTTTGAGTAAGAGTTTAAGGTTTATTTTGCTCATTAACCCATATGACTTTATTGACTTCTTGTAGAACTCAATTCTATGTAAAGGTGAGAATATAGGCTAATCTGACTCATATGGGTTGAGAAAAATATGAATTGAGTTAGGTTCAACTCATTTTTATATGGGTTGAAATTTTTTCAACCCAACCCAACCCTTAAGGTTTGTGGGCTAAATAGGCTAACCTGCCAACCCATTATTTTTATTTTTTTAAATTTATTTTTTATAATTTTTTGAAAATACAATTAAATAATAAGTTTCAATTTGATATTGCTTCATGATTTATTCTAAATATATCAAAATATTATTTTATAATACTTGTACAAAATATATAAATTGATACAGCTAAGTAAATCATGCTTGATATGGTTTATATTCACAAAATTTTCTCCTTTTCTCCTTTTTTAATTTTTTTAACAGTAATATTGGTTAAATGGGCCAACCTTAACCCATCAAGGTTAACCACATAGTTTACAAGTTATATGGTCCAATCTAAAAAAAACTCTTTTTATTTGGGTCAATTTTTTTTTCAATCCAACCTGACCCTTATGACTGGTTATTTGTGCCAACTCACATAATCCGACCTATATTTCTGGCTCTAATTCTATCCATTAAGTTGGCTTTATTCAATGCTCCTCCTAGATCAAAATATAAATCATAGTTAATTAATTCACAACTTATAAATAACATTAGTTAAAACCTTAAATTATGAAAAATATTCACATATTTTTATTGATACCCTCATTAAATACTCTATTTAAGAGCCTTGATAATAATAATTAAAATTCTAATATATGATTTAAAAAATAATAAATAAAGTAAAAGTATAGTTGGAAAAACAAATACAAAAGCTATTCAATATCTTATGTTTTAAACTAAATAAAGTTTTTAAAAACTACCTTATACTCTGATTCGGAGGATCACTAATTAAAAGAAATCGCACGAGCATGGCTCTTTTTCAAGAAGTCAGTCACATTATTTGTGCTTCACTTAATGCATTCTCTTGTCTCAGTGATGAAAAATATCTCTTTTTTGGCCTGAAAGTAATGAAAGTATGAATAGTTGAATACATCTAAAGTAAGAAAATTATTTACCATGCATTTTTTTTCATCCGTGAATAGCAAGTAGTGACCGGTAAATGCCACCAGAAGTCAGTAGACTAGTAAAACTGTAAAAGCATGTCAATTTTTTTTTTTTTTTGCCCTGAAAAAGCAAGTCAATTCGATGCATTATATTAATTTAAATGAGGTTTGAATTTATATTTATGTTTTTAATTTATAAATTTTGTTAATTTAATTCTCTTGATTTGAAAGCTAACGTTACCTCAAAACCAATGAAGTTGAATTAGCAAAATGATCAGTCTCTCTTAACGCGATGAGTTCATATTTAGTGCTGACAATATCTGGAATCTAATTATCTTTGATGAGAGAATAAGCAATAAAAAAAAACATTACCTTCTATTTTGAAATTATAAGCAAAATTATCAAGTGTGATATTTATGTTTGCAAAAATGACATATGAATCCTTTTAAAATAGAAAAATGACAATTTAATCTTGTGAAGTGTGATAATGACAATAAGGTCCCAACAAAGATTAAACTTCTATATGAAATTACTTTAATACCCCTCTATGATTTAGAAAATTGTCGTTTTAAATATTAATGGAATCAAACTTGTTAATACTTAATATTAAACTTACAAACGATATAAATTAGTTAAACTTTGCTAATAAAAAGTTATCACTTTTTAAATTACTTTAGTCATTGATGGAATCGAACTTGTGAATACTTATACCAAACTTTTGAACCATATAAAAATAGTTAAATTTTGATTATTGAAAAAAATTACCGATAGAAAGTTGTGATTTTTTAAATTATTTTAGTCATTGGTTGAATCAAACTTGTGAATACTTATTCTAAACTTGTAAATCATATAAGATAAATTATACATGGGTGCTAAAATAATTTTATACAAAATTTTAGCCTGTGTTTGGTTTTCAGTTTGCCAAAAGTTTATTTGTTAAAAATTTATTTGATAAAAGTCAGTTGTTATAATGAAATTTATGTTTAGATATATTTTTTTAAAAGTTACTTTGATAAGTTGAAAGTTATTTGGATTAATAATAATTTATGCTTTTAAAATATACCTTAAAATATGCAATAACAAAAAATGACATTGATTTATAATAATTTATAATTTTTATTATAAAAATATAATATATTAAAAATGTTTAAAAATGTGAAAAAAATTAAACTAACATAGACTTTAATACATTAAGTAATAAGAATAAAAAAATAAAATTTGATATGTTAAAAAGATCATATAATAAATAGCTCAACATATATTAATATTAAAAACTAACATGATTCAAAAAATATATATCCATTCAAAAAAGATTTAACCAACTAAACAAATCTTTTTAGTTGATAAAAATTTTAAATAACATAAAATTTGATGTGTTAAATAATAAAAATATAAAACATTAAATTTGATTTATTGAACAAAATTTTTATAAATAATTGAATATACATCAATGCTAAAAAATAACATAATTAACTATTCAATGTATAATGTTAAAAACCTTATCTCTAATTAGTAATTGTTATTATTTAATTATTATTATATTGTTAATAACTTAGCAATCTTTTTTAATAAAAGAATAATATATTATACTTAAAATATCATGATCAAATTACACCTCATTCTTTCAATGAACTTTTCAAGAGCTCCATCATTTTATATTTACTAAATTTACTTTCAATAACATTCTCAACATACTTTTAAAATATATTTTTATTTTTTTGTTTTTTATTTTAACAACATCTCACATTTTAAAAGTGATAAAGTACTTTTTAAATATTAAAAATAAATTATTCAAATATATTTTTAATATTAAAGAAATTTTATGAGAACTCTCATTCTCATATTTTTATAAGATCAAATTATTATTTTCATAAAAATAATATAATTTGCGTGTGGGAAAAACCCTAAATAATTAGCATCATTTTTCCCGGCTTCCATTGTTCCGTCTCTGCGACTACGCTGTACAGTCTTCCCTCTCCCGAGCAAAACAAATTGAGCAGAATGTGAAGATAACTCAATTTCTTCACTCAAACAACATGTCTGAGAATCCATTACAGGTTCTCGTTCAAACCTTTGAGAAGGTTTCATATTCCATTCAACATCACCTTTCCAGTTTCATAGACCTTCATCTCCGGCCAGCTTCCTCTGGTAAAGCTCCTATTTTCTCCATCTCTTCCTCCTCCCACAAATCCCATTCTTTGAAAGATGATTCTTTTGTCCAACCTATAGATGTCCTTCTCAAGGTTCGCCGTTCTGGGTCCCTTGCAACTCTGAATTTCAAAATTTCTGCTGTAACCGTAACTTTGTCATAGAACTTGACTCTGATTGCATTTTTGGTTTTGAATTAAAGTCTGCTATAGTTGCTGTATTTACAGTTGCCAACAATGCTCTGATTATCTCTGACGAAGTTTAAGTTCTGCTTTAGTTGTTATTTGTAGAACATATTTGTTAGAAATTTTGTGCGTGTGGGGTGATGGGGAGATGTAGTTGCTATTGGAGATTGTAGTGAGAATAGGTTAATCCAATATGGTTGGCTTAAATTTTATTTAAAATGATGGATGTGTAATCATTTTTTTGCGACGAATCTGCTTTTTGATTTGTGACTCTTTTCTTCCAAACCAAATCCCATTTTGCAACTACGCAAGAGATACATGGGGTAGGTGTACGCCTTCTATAGTGCCTATTCAACTTATCATACCCAAATCCAAAGTGCTTGCATTTGCTAGTCATGAATTTTCCAAGAAACTTCAACCTTACCTTACTATTATCAATTTATCATGTTGGTGATGTAGCGAGTTGAAATAGTTCCCTTTTTTCCCTTTGTTTAGTATGCTTGTTACCGAATTTGAATTGGTTCTCGGATTTAAAAAACCAGAGTATTTAGTCTTCCATTTAATGCCTTCAAGTCTTCCTATTTATTTTCTCACCCAAAAAAAAAATATATATATATATATATATTGGTGTGTCTTGTTGATTCTCTTGAACAAAAGGCTTATCCAATGGCTGAACTATGAGAAGTTACAGCTGAATACATATCCTTGAAGTACAACTTGTATGCATGCTTTCAAATCTGTCTTTATCTAATATATTTATTGGAGTTCATGCAAGGTAGTCATTTTTGATAATCATATGAAGCATTTCTTTTCAAACTAAAACTCATTAAGAATAAATGGAAAATTCAATAAAAATTCAAATGTGCAATGTATCTTCTTTCATTGCTTTCTATTGTAAAGTGTATTTTGTTCATGCAAGAGAGGTAATGATTGCTCTGCTTTTCATCATTTGTTTCTACAGGCAAAATCTGCTACACCAGTGACTAAAGAGGAGCTTGGAAAGGCTACTTGGACTTTTCTTCATACTCTTGCTGCTCAGGTTGTCACTCCAGTTAATTTTCTTATGCTGCCCTTTATTTTTCTAACTATTCTATTTTATCGTTTTTGCATTTACTAAGTTTTTGTTGCCCATCATATAAATATTAAAGGAGATCAGTGTACTAGTGTTCAATGTCCTCATCTTTTTGCTGTCTTGCTTCATTTGAAATGGTCCTATAACTAATTCTACCTTCTACCTTGTCAATGGGAAGTTGTGCTTGGTTGTAATAACGCCTTGACAGAATATGTCTAAACATTTCACCTTAAAGCAACGGTACTGGAAGCTATTTCTCTTCTTAGCTCACTCTTTTATCAATGAATCTGAAATTTTGACTGGACTATCTTGGAATTGTTGGTCCCTACATTATAACAATTATTTATTATGCTTAAATTAATGTGTTGGTTTTCTCCTTGGTTGCTACCTTTAAACTTAATATTCACCATCTTGCTGTTTCCTTTATCTAAATAATGCATATTTTATTTCCTAAACATTGTCCACTCTGGCTGAACCTGCATGACAAATTGCTCTTAGCAAAGGATTAGCTTTTTATGCTGTAAATGTTGCCGAATGTTTTTGGTTTTATTCCCATAATTCACAATGGTTGAACCACGTGTACTTATGTCTTGAAATGTTAAAAGAGTTCTTAACATCATGGTCTCTCTTCTCAGTATCCAGATAATCCTACAAGGCAACAAAAGAAGGATGTAAAAGAATTGGTATGGTATTTTCCTCCCTTATTAAACTATAGTTATATGTCATATTTCTCTCCCCAACTGACTCTTTCCATGGATAAATTTAAAGCTATTGCATGTGGTGCATCACGCTCATCTTGTAGAGCTAATGGGTTGTGTCTGGGATGTAGATGGGAATCTTATCTCGAATGTACCCTTGCAAGGAATGTGCAGATCACTTTAAAGAAGTTTTAAGGTATACCACTTTTCCTTTTGGAACAATATATGCTAACTATTAACTGGAATTAGATAAATGAAAACATTTTAATTCTGCATATGCAAATCCATGTCTTGATTACGGGAGGATAGCCCCATATCTTCATTCTTCTGACCTATCTTTTAAGTTTTTTTTTTTTTTTTTTTTCACTTGAAAGCTATTATTCGCTAATGGAACTTGTTTGTGAAAGCCTTTGACCTGAACTTAAGGAGCTATTTTAGATACCTTGACTGTCCACAAATGGTTTTAACATTGAGGATGGACATGTAGCGGCACAATTGGAAATTTCACTTTGCAAACCTTGACTTGTGTGGCATTGAAAAATAACCTATTTGAAATATCATTCAAGGATTTCTTGATACTTGATATCTCACCAAGGTTTTGAATATACAACCTGCTGGCTGAAAAAAGTTAGTTTTCTCAAGTTTCTGATCAACACGAATGATTTGCTATTATTCCATTCCAAATGTATATATATTAAGCGTTCTTTTGCATGTTGAGCAGAGCAAATCCAGTACAGGCTGGATCTCAGGCTGAGTTTTCCCAGTGGTTATGTCATGTGCACAATGTTGTCAATAGAAGGTAAGCTTGTATCGCAAGTGTATTTCAGATGTTATTGTTCACAGTATCCCTAAAATATAGAGACCCCTCTTTAGGATTCACCAGTTTAAGCTCCCCGATCTGTTTCAGACAACATTTAGATAAAGTTATTTTACTATGTGATTAAGTTCTTCAACAAGACCATATCATCACATGAGCATTTTTTTACGTACTTAGCATCACATTGTTGGTTCGTTCAGAAAGGCTCATTCTTATGTCATGATTTGATTAGAAGATTTGTTAGCAAAACTTTGTTTTACATTCCAATTTAGATTTCCCACTACAGAAATGCTTGCGGGAGGTTATTTGTATAGATGAACTTGTGAATGAATGAAGAATATCACTATTGTTTATACTACAGATTTAACATTACTGACTTTAAATTGTTCAGAACGTGATGTTGAGTTGCAAAGAGAATTAATGTGTTGTGGCATTTGTTATAGAACTTGATGTTGAAATACCTAATAAATTTTGTTACGTTCTTGGTTTTGTTACAGCCTTGGAAAACCAATATTTCCCTGCGAACGAGTGGATGCGAGATGGGGCAAATTGGAGTGTGAGAAGAACGCCTGTGAAGTTGTTGGAAGTACGAGTTTTGATGAAAAATGAAAGAGCTAGGGATTTGGTCTGCCTTTGTGTATTTTTTGTGAGCCTTCATTGCCAAGTGAAGTGAAAACTATTATTCACTGACTTCACTATGTACAGTTCTTGGCATGTTACTCATTGAATAGGGTCTTGGTTTGTTGAAGCTTCCGTTTCATTAGCGAAAGATTATTGGATATTTAAATACACATTAATTAATTTGAATACCAATAAGCCATTATAGAATGATTAATTTAATGCTTGGAATTTAGGGAAAAATCTAGGATTTTAACTTTCAGATATTATTATGTTTAATCAATCAAACTATAAAGACTTGATTGCAATAAAGTGAATTACATTACCTAATTTAAAATTGAGAAAGTATAAATTAATTAGGAATCAACGGTTTAAATTAAGAAAAAATAAAATTGATAGTTGAGATCTCATTTGAAGAGGCGAAAACAAGCCGTCGAGAGATGCCTTAACGCTCCCCATATGTTTCATGCCAATTTTTTTTCAGTTTTTCTCCTGCTTAGAAAAAATCATGGGTTAAATTGAAAATAGGCTTAAATGTCTTCTCTACCTGTTCAAATTTTAGTGCCTATCTTATGGTAAGTCCATTTAACTATTGTTTCCTCTCAACTGATTGTGCTTTTTACATCTTTCCTCCCTGTTTCCCCACTAGTTCTTTTCCTCCTTGCATCTCTTTTCTACCATGCTTGTGTTCTCCTACCTCTTTCTCATGGTTGATAAACATGACTCATCCGTACCAATTGCAACATCCTAAAATTTCTAAACCAAATTAATTCCTAATTAAGGGCAGAATTAGTTAATGAGTGAATTATTTTGATTAATCATGTTTTTGGATAACTAATTAGCGTTTCAAACAATTGGGAAGCTTTTGAATTGGGCTAGGAAGGAGTTGAAAATGAATAGAGGTCAAATTGGAAGAGAATTGGTTTGCACATTTTGTGCAATGCATCGCAACATGTGTATGTTGCGCCACGATCCATGACCAGAGTTAATAGCTCGTGGATCAACATTTAGGGTAGAAAGGAAAAATTAGATTTTGAGGAAAGATAATAGGAGAAAAGGAAGGGGTCTGTTAGGGTTTAGTACGTTGGAATACCATAAGTTGATTCGGGCTGTTGTGCATTTCAATAAGCCTTTCCTCTATTCTCTCCACTTTTACACCATAAATTTCAAGGGTTTAGAGAGAGAGAGGGATGATTTGTGTTGGAAAAGCTAAGAATTCATGCTCTAAATGTTGCATGTGGTTTCAATAGCTTAGTTTAGGTTTTTTTAAGCTAGGGCCAAGTGGTTTTGGGAAAAAGAAGTGAGAGATTAAGAAGTTGGAACAAGCCCCTAGCTAAAATTCTAGAATATTAAGGTGTGACATGTTGAGATATGTGATGATATGCTATGATTAGGCTTGGTAAGGACTTGTGGTGATGCTAGGAGTTAGTTATGGTCTTAACTAGCTCCTCTAGTGTGATAAAGGGTGATAAGTAGGGGAAAATGGGGTGATTTATGTTGTGAAAATTACTTATGTTAGTAAGAAATTAACATATAATATTTATTGTTGTAGATTGAGATGTGTGAGACCTCATGATTCAAGAGGTGATTGCAGTGATTGCAAACTATGGGTAACCCTTTAGTGATAAAAAGATTGAGGTAATAAGATGATCTACATTGTTTATTAATTGGTTTAAGCATGTACGAGTATTTTGCATGTGTATATTATACATTATATTTATATGAACATGTTTTATGAAATTATAAATATAATCCAGATAAGTCTTTGTGGTATATTTATATTAGTATATATTTGCGAATGACATGTACATATGTGTGTGATATGTATGAAATAAAGTGGTGGTTAATCTCTTTATATGTAAGTAGTGATTTGCATACATGGTTTAATGGTGAATGATTTAACCACCTTGGGACACCATGTGTGGTACACATATTCTAGACTATTACCCTGGGCAACTCAGAAAGTCATTTTAGGCATTCCTTAATACTTGTAAAGGTGCAAAATTAGAGTCAACGACACCTCAGCTACTTAGAATAGGTGGAATTCATAGTTTAAAAGTGAGAAAATAATGCCTTGGCCAATTAGTTACTCTCATGTTAGGTATGCAAGGACTAATCCTTTGAGGATTGGTCCAATATGGTTGCCTATGAATTCAATCAATGAGCAATAGAGGATTAAATGAAATTTCTTATCCATACATACTATATGTCAGTGGTGAATCACAATATGATGCTTGTGCATGTGGGGATTTATTATATTATTACTTGTTATTGCTTTACCCGTTAATCAATAGTGTAGAATATCTTGTTATTGAGATCTTGTATCTCACTTTGTGATCACTATTTTACAAGTACAGACTTCGGGAAGGGATAAGGGAAAGATAAGGGTTGAGATTAGCTGGAGCTAATAGTAATGGCCATAATATTTTGAGCTTATGTATATTTATTATTTTGTAAATTATGAGTTGCCAGCTAGGAATGCAGAGTATTTTTAAATTGTATGTACTTGCATGATGTTGTGAATTCAATATTCTAGCCCATTTAGTTCTATGTGGTGATCAAATATGGTGAAAGGCTATAATATTGGTGCAAGTGCATAAACTCTGTAAATATGATATATAGATATACGTAAGTGGTGACATGAAGTGAAAGTAGAAGAATCATATGTATAAAGTGGTCATATAAGTGGTGAAATCAAATATGAATGGTGATATTAATTATAAGCTGTGAAATGCATATGTATATATGTGAATATGTATAAGGTGGTGCATTGTTATGATGTAGTGATCATTTAGCCACAACTTTGATATTTTTGCTTGCGTGGTCAATTGGCCCTGTTGTAATCTTAAGGACCAAAGTAACCAAATCATGTGATATTTGTCATATTATTGTTTTATGTGCTTAACCAAGTATAAACAAGTCTATTGGACTTGATTCAAGACCTAAAAGTGGCTAATACCACAAAGGTGGGAATTTAAGCACTCGGATGCTTAAAAAAGGGTTAAAACGAACTTTATGCATTTACGAGTCCAAATTTTGAATGCACCATTGGATCGAAACCAAACTTATGCCATTAACTATATTATCAAATAAGCTTTATGTAAACACTTGAATCACTTCAATTGGACAATGGAGGCTAAAATGGCACACACCAAAAATTCACTCAAAAAAATTATCATGTCATGCTATCATAATTGGCCATGTGCGCTGCAATGCAATGTTTACATACCACGACACATGGCATAGGGGATAAATTTTTTACTTTGTGCCATATGCCAAAAAGCATATACCTTATGCCATAGCATATATGTCCGAATATGCCAAAATAACATTTTTAGCCTTGTTTACTTGTGGTATGAATTTTACTTTGTTTCCATGCCTCCTATGAGGGTTTTAAATTATTATATTTGAGTTCAAACACTTTAAAAAAAGGTTGGTGGGATCCTAATGGTTTTAAACATGTTTTACCTTATTAATTTTTTTAAAACATTCTTTGATTGATTTGAGGCTTAGGAGTGCTTAGAACATCCTAATTGTCATTCTGTGGTGCTTGTATTATAGTGAATTGTGGTAATGTTGAGGCAAAATAAAATTAAAATAATATTAGTTGGAATAGAATTAAAATAACCATTTGTTCATTTAAGATGTGGTTACTAACTCTAATAATAAATAATAATATTTTGAATTTGAGTATGGGAATAAAGAACAACGTGATAGTTGTTATGTTATTTTGGTGAAAAGAGAGAGAAGGGAATAGGGGAAAAGAGAATAAGAACATAACTAAAAAGAGATAGAGTGTTATAGAGTGGTGTCAAAGAGAGATAAAAGAATGGAGACGTTGACAAAATAGCCAATGGAAATCATTAATAATATTCATTCAACATTACTCATATTATATTTCTTTTTTCTCTATATTTGTGTATGGTATCAAAGCATCAATTAGGGATTTAACTCAAAGCACAAACTCAGAGATGGATCAATCATCCTTTTTAGTGTTGCAAAGTTCTTTCTTGTACTAATAATTTTTGGCTTAGGTATGAGATGTGAAAAAGTCAAAGATCCACTTCCATACAGCATGAGAAGTGTGACAACTGACTAGTCATGGAAGCATCAAGTCCAAGATTGTGGATTGGAGTCATGAGAAGAGCAATTGGTCTTTGGTATTACACTAAATGTAATTAGAAAAAAGTACACTAAATGTAATTAGAAAAAACAACACCAACTTTAAGATTGGCAGCATTATTGAACTATAGTGGCAAGCAACATCTCTCAAGAAAGTGCAAAAGGTTATAGACTCAAACAATAGACTTGATTTGTTAACACTAGACAAGATAATCATGTTTATCAAGTTTGGACAAAATAGAATGACTAAATTAATAGCCCAACCCTAGCTATTTTTAAACTTAAATAGGCTTGGTTCATTTTTTTCAACTCTAGGTATCACCAAGGTATGTGCAAGATTCATTAGAAAGTTTGGGACCATTTGACTAAAAGTAAGTGCCCATTTGAATTTCAGTTTGGTATAATAAATTATAAAGATAATTGATTAAATTATAAATTTTAATCATGATTGATTATATTATAACATAGTCTATTTGCATATTGTTTTTCTAAAATTGATTTAATAGAATTGAAGATATTTAGATAATTTATTCAAAATCAATTTTAATTGTATAAAGTACCATAAAGGACATTGCATTTTAAAATTAAATTATTAATAAATTTGTATATAATATTATTACAGTTGTTACATTTTATTTAAGAAGTAAAATATTATTTAAATTATATATCTAATTAATTAAAAAAATTAAATTATATTAATATTAACATTTAAATTTACGTAAATAAGTAACTCAATATATTTTAGTTAAAATAAATTTAATAGAAGAGAAAGATTTAATTCTTAAATACCCAACAATAACTAATAAAAATGATAATATACAAATTAATTTCCAATGACATTATGGATATGAGTCATATCTGACGAAGATGTTAAGCACTACCTTAAAAATTTGACAATATAAAAAAATTGTAGCAATGTAACAAATGACGCAAAATCTCTCTCTCTTAACCTTTGCAACAATCTTTATAATGACCCTCAATTTTAAATTAAATTAAATTAATTTTTCTCTACCAATTAGTATTTTATTTAAACTAATTTTATAGCAAAAACTAAGTGGAGGATAGTGGTTGATAAAAACTTATATTAGAAACTTTTTTATAGGGGTGTTTAGCTTATATCCGTTCTGATTGGCTCGATATCATTTCGATCATATTGGGATAGGTCTCGTCTCGACTTGAAAACAATCAAAACAAGACTTTACGAGATAGGATGGGAAAGGGGTTGGGACGAGATGAGACAAGAGATTACTATCGAGACATTCCGTCCCATCCCAAATATTATATATATTATTTTTATTTTAAAAATATACATTAAATACATTAATTATATTAATATAATTTATACTTATATTAATTATATCAATTATAATTTCAATACTTGCAATTCTTGTATAAAACTAAAGTTTTTTATATTAATAATTTTAATGATATAGAGTAAATAGGGAGATATCTTTCTTTATAATATATTAATTATATTAATATAATTTATTCTTTTATCTATCTATTTAATAAATTTTATTTATATCATATTTCTTACTTTATTTTTGAAAGAGTAATTAACTTAGCACATCTTAACTGAAGTAAAATAATAATAATTTGATGTTATGTTTGGCTTACATGTTGTTGCTACTCTTATAGCTTAGAGATCACTTATAATTACTATCATAATGCGTAGTTGTGATTAATGTAATTAAATAATTAACTTTAAATTGTTGTGATTTATGTACTTATGTTATTTTAATTTTAAATTTAATAAATTATATGATTTAAAATTTTAATAAATATTATTATTCAAATCTTTCTTCGACATTGTCCAATTTGCTGTCTTGATCTCCTCCCGATTCCTAACGGGACGGGATGACTTTCAAGACGGGACACGGGATAAAAATTTAATCCCCATCTTTTTTTCAGGACGGTATATGGGACAGGGATGTCTCGATCCTGTCTCATGAACACTCTTACTTTTTTAAAAATCTAAAATTTAAATTTTACTAAGGAAAAAAAAAAGAAGAGAATAGAGTTTGATTTTATTTTTATTAAATTTTATGCCTTTCTTAAAAAATTTTTGGGCCTTTCTTTATATTTTTCTCACATGCTTTTTGATCAACTTTTGATCGGCTTTCCCTTCTCCTTTGAACGCAGAAGCTGTGTGAAGGAGCTTATGAAAAAAATCGACTTTTCTCCTAACAATCGATTACATATTTAACTGATGTTTGGGTATTTTTGTGGAAAATTGATTTTTTAACTAAAAAATCGACTATTTTACTTATCCAAACACGGCCTAAATCTAATGGAGACCTGAGTTTTGAAGATTTCCTAGATGTTAAACTCGCATTATTAGGCAACAAGTTTGGAGGATTCTAATTGTATACTATGAATTTTGGGTGCAAATCATTAGAGGTATTTAATTTCCCTATGGGTCTTTCTTTGTTTTCGTAAGGGACAAAGGGTTGAAAAACTATCCTGAGAATGGAATGTTTGCTAGAAGCTTAAGGCTTGTTTGACAACATATTTTGGAACAGTTTTATGTTTCCTATAATATAAAAAAAAAATTGTTTAATAATATATTTTTAAAAAGTTTTTTAAAGAATAAAAAAACTAAATATTACTCTAAAAAATAAAAAAAAATGAAAACATCTTTTATATGTTTTAAGATTATTATTTTAAAGGATAAGGAAGAACATGAAAAACATATATTTTTGTTTTTTTATTTTTAAAAAATATTTTATAAAATATTAATTCTTAAAATAATAAAATAAAAATAATTTCAAACAAGCTCTATCCTCTCTTTGAGAACAATTTTACAGGAATTATAACCTAGCAAGCCAAATGAGTGAAAGACAAAAGTGAGATAAATAGATAACCTCATTGTCAGTGGAGCACAAATTCGACAAGCCGGGCATCATTTATACCTAACAAAAATATTATTAATATTTAAAAAGAAATTATAAATATCATTTAAATTCATATATAATTAAATTATGTGGGGTGTTTAAAAATATTTATTAATTTTATTTGTACTATAAATTTATTTAAGTTAATGAAGCAATTTTTTTGGGAGCAATTGCAATTTTAAAATGAAATATTATAGAATTATACTAAAAAAATAAATATTATTGAAAATATTCTAAGATTATCCTTTAATTTGCTTTGGAAAAACCTAAATAATTAACCTTGCTCCACCCGCCGTTACTTTCAAGAGTCTGAAATATAAACATTTGGTCGCATTTCACTTCACCTCATCACTGGAGCTAGTTGCATTAATGTTAGTTTAATGAAGTTAAAATTTGTAAGATTTATAAAAGATGGAGAATGAAGAATTTATAAAATTGCTAAGAGTAAGGAAAAAAATCAAGAAATTTAAAATAAATAAGGTATATAAAGGATGAAGAGGGAAATGTTTTGATCACAGATAATGATATTAAAGACAGATGGGAGACAAACTTTTCTAAGCTTTTTAATGATAATGGGGGGTCGCCAATTAACTTAAAAGATTTAGTAACTTTTAAAAGAGAGCAAAATTTATCATTTTATCAAAAAATATGAGTTTGGAAAGTGAGAGAAGCTCTTAAGAAAATGACAAACGATAGAGCTAATGAACTTGATTGTATTCTTATTGAAATGTAAAAATGTTTGGGTGAAGAAGGAGTGCGGTGATTAACTAAATTATTTAATGAGATCTTACAATTCAAGAGAATGCCGGACGATTGGAAGAAAAGCATCTTAGTTCCTATTTATAAAAATAAAAAAGATATTTAGAATTGTGCCAACCACAAAGGGATTAAACTTATGAATCATGCTATAAAATTATGAAAAAAAGTGATTGAGCATAGGTTGAAATTGAAAACTGCAATTTCAGAAAATCAGTTTGGCTTCATGCCAAGGAAAGCGACTACAAAAGCAATTTATCTATTGAGAAGATTAATGAAAAAATATGGATGTAAAGATAAAGATTTACATATGGTTTTCATTAATTCGAAAAAAGCTTATAATCGTATACCAAGAAAAGTACTTTGAAAGGCTTTGAAAAAGAAGGATGTCTGAGTTGCCTATATTCGAGCTATACAAGACATGTATGAGGGGCAACAATTAGCATAAGAACACTTGGTAGTGAAATAAAAGATTTTCCTATAAAAATTGAATTGCATCAAGAATCATCTTTGAGTCTTTATTTATTTGATCTAGTCTTGAATGTTTTCACTGAGCATATTCAAGAGAAAATTCCTAAATACATGCTTTTTTGCGAATGATATAATTCTTATTGCAAAAATAAAAGAAGAGATAAATTGTAAACGTGAGTTATAAAGGAAGATATAGGAGTTAAAAGATTTTCACCTGAGTAGGAGTGAAACAAAATATTTACATTATAATTTTAATAAGAAGTCAGTGAGTAATAACTTAGAAGTAAAATTGAGCTATTAGACCATACCTCAAATAGAAAAGTTTAGATATTTAAAAGCGATTATTCAACAAAATGGGGACATTGATGGAGATATTACACATAGGATACAAGCGGTATGGTTTAATTAAAGAAAGGCTAAAAGAGTTATTTGCGATCGTATGGTACCTAATAAGCTTAAAGGAAAGTTTTATCAAATTGTTATAAGACCAGCAATTTTATATAGTAGTGAATATTAAATTTTGATGGAACAACAAAAGCATAAAATTAAAATAGCAGAAATGAGAATGTTGAAATGGATGCGTTGATATACACGTAAAGATAAAATTCAAAATGAGTGAATACAGAAAAAAGTAGGTGTAACACCTATTGAAGAAAAAATGGTAGAAAATCATTTAAGGTGAATCGGATATATACAAAAAAGATCATAGAAGACACTTGTGAGGAGAGTGAAATAGATGACTTTAAGCCCTGTCAAGAAAGATAGAGGAAGACCAAAAAGAACATTTTTAAAGGTTATTGAACGAGACCTTTTAATTAATAATATTCCTAAAAATTTAATAAGTAATAGAACACAATGACATCATATAATCTATGTAACAGACTACACCTAATAGGATAAGAGTTGTTGTTGTAATGAAGTTAAAATTCGTACACCCTTTATTTCAAACCAAATTTATATAAATGGACAAATGATATTTGGCCTCAAGTTGGACAATCTATTGTTTTAAGACCACTTGCTTTTATCGACCATTTCTACGAGACCTCTACCCACGGCTTCACACAGCTTGATATTGACATATACTTTTTCAACATCAACCAAGCACTGGCTGATTAATAGATAATAAACTCTATATAATACACATGATCCACGTTAATCTTTATAGAAAGCAAATTCACCCACCACGAAAACTAAACTTCAAAATTTTCATTCTGAGCTTTTGATTTACTTTTTACTCCCGCATTGCTGTTCAAGCAATAGCACGAGAAATAGGTGGAGACTTCAAATAAAATGGATAGAACTCCTTATTGTGTCTCAAACAAAATTGTTTTTACTAGGAAGATATCTGTGAGCAACAAAAAAATGGATAGACTAATATCCTTCACGATCAAGATGTCAAATATGTGATACAGCAGGCTGTACAAGCTAAACAGGGTAGCATCAACCACGAATGACAAAGGCGCTCACCTCACAAGCAACACAAGTTATTTTCTATGTTGTAACTTCACTTGATCTTTCTGAGTGTGTTCATATATGTATAACTCGACATGGCTACAAAACACTTGCGAAACCTGCAGAAATGTAATCACCAATTTTTTCACAGTTTTCAATGATTTCACATAATTGAACATCCAAAACTCTCATGCTTGTCTCGTTTAACTAAACAAGTTTAACAAGTTTCAACTAACGCATTTATTAAACAAGCCGAGTCAAACCCAAACACCACCCTTCATGTTGGACAGCATATTTCAAGGCAATCTATCGTAATTGTGAAATATCTACGGCATGGAAGCTGTGTATAATTTATGGTATGGTCCAAGATCAAAGAGGAAGAACAGAGACTGAAGAAAGAAAATTCCAAAAGAAAACAGATACTGCTTTGGTGTGACAATAAGGAAACGCATGCATACCAGACCCACTGGCTTGAGTGTTGGGCCATAGCAAGAAAGCTTCTACAGGGATGCTCATTTACCAAGAACTGGATTGTTTCATTTGAATGCAGCATGCTAGCAAACATGGCCAACCAGACGTCAATAGGTCCACTGTACTTGCGCAATATGTTGGTGCTAACCTGAAAACATGGAGGAGCGCTAAGCAAAGGTGTGAAATTGAAGAGTCTTAATGACAACTCATCACCACAAAAAAAAGAAAGAAAGAAAAGAAAGAAAGAAAAAGGAAAACATACCAGCTCCCAGGCTTCAATGTCCTTGTATTGTATATCATGTAATAACTTGCTGCTCAAACCACACAAAAGAGAATTGATAAATGTCAAGTGAGAGAAAATTGAAATTCGACAAGTTAACCGAATTAATCTCATATATAGATCATTAATCACATCCTCATGTCTAAATTCTGATAACCTATCATTTCCTTGGCAATTGCCATTGATCATCAAAGTATTATTGGGGAGTATTTCAACGATAGTAACCCACACAGCAGCTTCACAACAACTTTTGAACATTATCACGTCCAAATATTCAGAGAGAAAAATGATATAGAAATTAGAAAATGAGCTTGTCAAATGAGTATTGAGTTTTGTAACTTGTAGTTAAGCAAGGAAAATCTAGCCCTTCAATCCACAATGTAGCACAGCAATCCTAAAATGGGTCTTGTTATCATTAGCATGGTAAAGAGTGAAAAGAAGAGCAAAGAGTTCCACATATCAGAACTGGCTCATATTGATAGATCCCCTTTTGTCATAGAATAAGGGTAGGAAAGAGAGAGAGAGAGAGAGAGAGAAATTGAAGGAAACAGAGGGAAATAGAAGAAAGGGTCAGAGAGACAGATAGGCACAAGGGAGAGAGAGAGAGAGAAGCAGTGTGAAAAGACTCAACTCCTCTCATTCCAAAAGACCTGATAACAACGAACCTTTTGGTTCCCTTTTTATAGACTCTAGCCCTTAATACCCAATTAATTTCCTCACTAATTAATACCCCTTTTACTACAATTATATGCCACCTTTTATGTTAAAAAATCCAAAATTGAACAGAGGATATATCTGCCATTTTTTTCCAGTTTCAATTATGCAATTATTGATCAAATGCACTTTTTTCCAACCAAAAAACAAAAAAATCAACTTACCACACCCCATAGTGTACATCGCGATGATTACAATGACCCGAAACACCATAATTGTCAAAAGTGATAATCTGGGCAAATTGGAAACAAGCAAAAGCCAAGAAAGAACCTCATGAGCCCAAAAATATGTTCCCATGCCCAGTAATGACAATGGTGGAGGGAAAGAATCCTTATCTTACCATATCTATGTTGTAAGTGCTTATTTCTTCCATAACAAGACTTGTTACCAAATTGTGGTTCCAAACTTTACCAAACCCATCCTAGTAATAATAACAAATTAAACAATGGCTGTGAAAGAATCTAACAACAGGAATTTATGCGATACAACTTTTACTAAGCTCAAGAGAATTATCAGATTAGAACCTGCAGATCTGGATGGTCCACAACCCTCACTTGTTGCGTTGGTACCTACAACAAAATTTCACATACCAAACAAACGACACCCCTGTAAAATTGACAGGCATCTTCCACCCTGAACTGTTTTAAAAGGACAATCTGAAAAATGGCCTCCTAGGACTACCAATGTATTTTGCCGTCCATTTGGAAAGTTACCAAGGTAAAAAATATGAAATAACTTTATGACAGGGACAAGTTTATATATTTGAGAAGTTTTTGACATCCAGTTTGAAACCATAGCTACATTATATATAAATATAAGTCACCTTGAGGGTTGCACAGGCTTGAAAGAGCTCTCTTTCTCTGATGCTTCCTTTACAATCTGCATCACCTGCATCAAGAAAACTATAAAGGATTGGAACATGGACATTATCCTTTCATAATGGCTACACAGGAAAGTCCATCTTTCTCAAAGCCCAAATATTCAAGCTTTGTTTTTGTGATAACAAGCAGCGGTTTGATACACAAGAAAGTGTTTATCAATTAGTATCCTAAGTCCCTAATCTTGATTTTTCTTACCAATTACTAACTTTCCACAGCCCAATGGACAGACATGAATAGGATTCTAAGTTTGCTAGCAGGCTGATGTAAGACAAAAATAAATTGCCCAGAATCTTGGAGTGGCTTTGGAAACTTCCTTCTCTTCATCATTCTTGAATATCGGAATCCCTAGGAAGATTTTAATTCATTTAGCCTATTAATTTAAGCCTTGAATTTTTTATTGTCAGGAATCTCCACCTTTAGTTGTTTCCTACAGTTGAATATTTATCCAGTTATACTTCCACCATCCAACAACTGTTGCTACTTAATCAACCTTGGACAACTCATTTTGACTTGAAATAAAATTTCAACTTAATATTCTACTAGAATGTTGGGTGACTGAATTTTAAAGTTTGAATCATTCTAGTACATGAACTGTAAGTCAGTAGCCAGGTATCCCGTGTATAAAATTCTATTCTAAACTTAAAGATTCATTCATAGAAAATCGTCAAAAAGTCAAAAGGAAGAAGACAATGCTAGATAAAAATGAATACTTAAATGCACAAAAAGCAGCAAGTTGAACTTAAGTAAGTGATGCACCTCTTACTGCTAAAGCCAGCCTCTTAATTCTTTAATCTTCTTTTAGTTTGACGAATATGTGTGTGTGTGTGTGTATTTACTATCATTTGCATTTGGTTACAAATGTTTGCTCTTTCTAAACATACCATCTGCATAACTAAATAAACAAAAGGTGAAGAGGTATATGAAGCTTATCACTGCATAGGCATCGGCCTCTTTATTGACAATAGCCAAACTTGCTAAATATGGAAGGATAAAGATACTATCTTAAAGGGAATCAACAAAATATGTCAAGAAAGAACATGATATGGGAAAATAAAAAACATTCACTTATGATCAAACAAAGAGTGGAAATAGAGTCAAGTCTGCAAAAATATCAATGCAGGTGCATGTATGATGACTTCTGCCAATTATGAGGCCAACAAAACTGTTCAAGTTAATTACCAATAGATAAGCATAAAATATGAATATAATGCCCTCTTGACGTCAGATAATTTATTGTTGGAGTGAAGAACCTGTAGAAACCAAGCAAAATTTCAGTGCAATTTGAAACCATACACTGGAAAACAAAAAATCTATATGGTATAATCAAAGCATTGAAATATACAAGTTTGGCCAAAAAACGAGAGACAAGAGATGATGAAGTCATACTGATTATCAGTTTACTTCCATGGTACAGATATAGTTTCAAACTAGGACTTAAGGTGCAATCTATTCCACACTGTCAAGGCAGGATTTGTTAGATGTTGGTTAAGAAGTTGGATTAGTTTTGTATTAGTTATCTGTTATGAACTCTTATATGTTTAGTGTCTGTGTAACTATAGAAGGCGTTGCACAGAGAGTTCAACTCATCAAAAAATACAAACTTCTCCACATCATTTTGTTCTCTCAATTTCCTTCTCTGTTTTCTTTCTCTCTTCTCCAGAGGCTCCCCTACAATTTATCTAACTCTAAAGTTTGCTCCACAACTTTTCTTGATGGATTCAATAGTCGTTCCTATGAAATTTGACTCAGATTTTTTCATGCATCAGCTTTGAATGACTTGTTTAGACTTTAGACAATTTCCATGTGTTTTTTAGACTTCTGATAGAGTAAAAACTACTATTGATAGTAAATGTGTGATTGATAAAGATAAAAAAAACATAAACAGAACAGCTGAATTAGAGGCACCAAGATCGACGCAGCTTTTGGCACTGACAAGTTAGTTGATGCTACGCAATGATCAGTGGCCACTTAGAGGTCCATTACTCAATGACAATGAATTAAGTAATAATGCAAGTAGTATCATGACGTCAAGCTTACATAGACTCGTCATCAGGGTGGGCAACAACTATCAAGACACTTCTCTTTGTAAGAGCTTTACCTGATTACAAATGAGGGAGAAAATGACAACTTTAAATTAAATTAAACAACAGAGATGCAATTCACCATATAAATAATTCAAAAAAAATTAACAGAGACACAGCCCAAGTCCTGTGACAAAAACGCACCATTCTTCTTAAAAGAATTCCTCTTATTCACGTGTGCCACAAGAAGAACTTTGCACAATGAAATTATCCATAAAACAAGTAGACAACCAGTTGCCAGAATCCACGCCATCTAGATTGCCCCTGCAAGAATGAACTACAAACTCACGACAAATGCTCAAGGAATTTAGTTATCAAATTATTGATGTCTAATAGACATGTTATATTCTTGCCCAAAAGCAACCTGTAACAAGTTCAAATTAATAGCAATAGCGAGGGGGAATTCTACCCTGAAAGATCCTAGGCAATAAAACAAACTGGTTTGAACCGGTCCAAATATCAAATCAGTGTAAAATCAATCATAATTAAATTATTAATAAATCTTTAATTTGTAATTAAATGTATATTAAAATTAAAAATATAATAAAGAAAAAGAAAATTTAATAATAATGTCATAACATAAAGGCCAGTTGCTTGTTAAGAATTTTTTTCATGTTTGAAAAGTGAAAACTCAAAAAGAAAGAGATCAAATCAGATATTACAGTCCAAAAAAACAGGAAAAATGTTGAACGTAATCGAGAATTTCCAGCTGTCTAGTAAATGATGTCTTACAAGACCAGAGAGCATATCAGCGGGGCTTACAGCTGGCTAATCTCCTTCAAAATTTATATACAACAGAACAAGAAGAGAAACAATGTCAAGTCATTTGAGGTTCAACTGATCCTATTCTTACCGATTCTCTCATTCTACAGTGGAGAAAAACAAAGGCTAAAAACAAGAAAGGGGCATAGAAATTGAAAGGAGTTGAACGAAGCAGAATCTGACCCAGAGGCGATGGATTTCGAGCAACTGCTCCACCCGCTGAACCCAGATTAGCTACGGAAGGACGCTGAAAGTGATTGAACTGCTCGGCCTCAGAGCAACTAGAACGGCGACGGTGGCAGACCCAAGTGCCCAAACCACGCTTACTACTTAAAAAAAAAAAAATCTATCGGCATTCGAATTTCGAAGTTTCTGGTGATACACTTCATTCATTTACCCATAAGCAATGCCTCTTCTGATCGCAACTCCCAAAAGGCCTAATTAATATCGTTTCCTATGGGAGAACGCTCTCTGAATATCTCCCTGCAAGGATGATCCAGCCCCTCCCAGACCCAGACGATGATCGCTCGACAAAAAATGTCAAGATACAATCCTAACCTGCAGACTCTATCAAACGATGAAGTCTTGTGATTTATAAAAAAAAAAATCCATCAACGGTGAAATCAAGGATCTGTCACTTGAACGCGTTGTCACTTCTAATAAGTTATACTCACTTCATTTAAAAATATAAAATATTTTTTAAAAATTAAATTTTTAAAAATATAAAATATTTTTAATTTTTTAAAATATAATTATTATTTTTTTAAAAAAAATTTTTTATTGATAAATATTTTATATTTATTATAAAATATTTTATAAAAATAAATATAAAAAGATAAGATTAATTAAAAAATAAATAATTGAAGGATAAGATTCAATTAAAAATATTTTTTATTTTTAAATAAAAGAAATATCTATCTATCCCATCTGTGGTTAAGTTATGTTTTTAATTTTATTAGAAAATAAAACTAAATTGAAGTGAACAAATTTTAAATTTATATTAAATTTTCTCTCACATCTAATAAATTTAAATAAGGATGATATTTAAAAAAAATGTAGCCAATATTCCATCAAGTGCTTAATAATTTGAATATTCAAGTTAATCGAAATAAACTCGAGATGTTAAAATTAAGCTTGATTATAAAAGTCTTTTATATATTATATTATTTAAGTATTTTAAAACCAATATAAAAAATTTCGATTTAAATTAAACTCGGTTCAAATTGAGTTTTGCCTACTTGAATTGAGATATTTTATAAATTACAAATACTACAAATTTAACAGCATGAACATTTTTTTGTTAAGAAAACATTTATAATGACGCATTCTAATGTATAGTCTTTTAATATAAAATGAACTAAAATTTAAAAAATTAGTTAATATTTAATATATTTTTTAAAAAAGTAAAATTTTGTTTGGGTATTTAGGAAAAGGCTGAATACAATTTGGTTTCGCCCAAATTTTTTTAAATTTGAACCACTTGGATATCAAAAAATTATTATTTTATCAAGTCTTGCTTTAAATCTTTTTACACTTATTTGGACCGATTCATCGCGCTTGCCCAGTTACCATTCATGAGATATATCATATATGTTATGTATATTCATTTTTTATTTAAAAAAAAAAAAGAAAGGGAGGGGATTTAGTAGCCGTTAAGATTTCTCCCTATCCTCTGGACACCCCAAAGCTACCCGGATACTATATTAACAAAAAATAAAATTTATTCATATACTATACTTTATAAAATATTTATTCAAATACTATAAATTTAAAAATTAACATTTACCAAACCGAGTTTTAAAAACTTTCTGACACACAACTCGGTGTGTATCAAATTAATTTATGTGTGAGATAATTTTTTTTTTTAAAAAAAGCAAACATAGAGTAGTAGGGACTGACACCCTATTATTCTATCTCTCCTCCCCTAACTCACTATGTTCTCTCTCTCCCCTCTCTTCCCTCCCTCTCTCTCTCTCTCACACGCACACAGGCCTGTTCATATATTAATTCCTCCATTTAAAATTATAAAATATTATTTAAAAAATTAGATGTTAAAAAATATAAAATATTTTTAATATTTTAAAGTATAATTATTTTTTTAAAAGTGTACCTATAAATAATGACTTTATATTTATTATATGATATTTAATAGAGGCAAATATAAAAAGATAGGGTTAGTTTGAAAGTAGATAACTATTTTATTAGAGGATGAAATTCGGTTAAAAATGCCTTATATTTTTTAACGGGGTGAGCAACGTTTTCTTCATTTAAATATATTATTAACTTCTTCATAAATAATATGAAATAATATAGAATATACCTTAAAAATAATTTATATAATATATTAATTATATATTATAACCAAATTCCTTTTGAAACTATTAATAATAATAATAATAAATACTTTTAATCTAAAAAGTAAAAAATTGATTTTACCAATGTTTAATTTTTTATTAATTTTTATATAAAAAGTTATTTAAAAACATAACCTAAATATATATATATATTGAGTTATAAAAATTATATAATTAATTTTAAAGTTATATAATCTATTAATAAAAATACAGAAGTCCATAATTTTTTTAGAAAAAAAATTTAAGGATTTTAATCCTTAAAGATTATCATATTTAATTAATTAAATTATAAAAACTTGATTAAAACAAAATAAATCATAGGCACCTACGTCAAAATTGATAAAAATTAGAAGGACCTGAAAATTAATTTTTTCTTATTATTAAATAATAATAATATTTAAAAATAAGTTTTGATATTTTATTTTAGTAATTTTTATATAACACATGGTTTATGTATTTACTATTTATTATTATTTTTAACGTATATTTTATATTATTTCATTTTATTTATGAATAAGTTAATAATATATTTAAATGAAGATAATGTTAATATATGAAATAGAGAGAGAGGACGTAGTGATTTCAGGGGAGGAGAAATAGAATAATGTAAGTCCTGCCACCCTATGCTACTTTCTAAAAAAAAAAAATTTCTCCTTACAAATTAGCTTGATACACACTGAGTTGTGCGTCAGAATATTTTTAAAACTTGGTTTGATATATGTCAATTTTTGAATTTGTAATATTTGAGTAAATATTTTATAAAATGTAGTATATAAGTAAATTTTATTTTTTATTATAGCATCCGGGTAACTTTGCCGTAACTTTGCCCCCTTATGCACCCCTTATTCTGTGTGTTCCTCGGCCAACAGTTTACATCGGCTTTTTTCACCAATTGGCCTGAATATTCTACTCTATAGTTTAAATTTTACTGCCAAAATTTTTACCGTCAATTCCTCACCAATTCCTTAACTAATTTTTCTCCCATCTCGATTGGTTTTTTTTTAAAAAAAAATCTTCACCTCCTTGCTTTCGTCTCTAGTTTTTTAATCTCCCTACTCCCCTTTTCTACGAAGCTTGTGATACCCTAGAGCACTAAGCATTCTTTATTTAGGCTCGTTTAATTTGTTTCTTTGTTTAGACTTTTTTATTTATTGATTGCCCTAATTTTATTTAGATTTTGAAAATTTTAGAAAAATAACAGAAGAAAGAAAGGAAAGAACATCAAAATCATGCCGTATATCATTAGATTGAGAAGCAACAAAATATGACATTTTGGAATGCCTTTCCATAACAACCTTAAAATATGATTGGCTACATCATAGAACTTCTAGTACATCTCATAATGCAAATGATCTTTGAGTTCACGGAGGTTTATGTGAGAACGAGTGCCTCCCTCCATCGATATAGCTCTAATATCAATGTTATGAAAAAAATGACCAACCCAATTAGATGTTTGAAAATTCAAAAAAATAGAAAAATAAAAAAGGGAGGGAGGAACATCAAAATCATGTTACATATCTTCATATTGAGAAGCAGCAAAATATGCCATTTTGGAATGCCTCTGTAACAACCTTAAAAACATGAGTGGCTATGTCAAAGAACTTTCAGTACTAAGTTCTTTCACCATCAATATTCTGATACCAATGTTACCAAAAAAAAAGCGTAAACCTAAATAAATTTAAAAAGAAAGAAAGAAAGAAAGGGAGGAAGGGAGGGAGGAACATTAAAATCATGACCCATATCTTCATACTAAGAAGCAACAAAATATGCCCTTTTGGGATGTCTCTCCATAATAGCCATAAATCATGAGTGGTTACATCAGAGAACTTCTAGTGTATCTCCGTACGCAAACGACTTTCGAACTCTTGAAGCCTAAAAGTTTCATTTGGAAACGAGTGGCTTCCACTGCCAATATTAACTCTAACACCAATGTTTAAAAAAAAAAAGACCAATTCAATTAGATTTTGAAAAACTCAAAAAAAAATTAGAAAAGGAAAAAGGGAGTAACATCAAAATCATGTCACATCACATATCTTCAAATTGAGAAATGGAAAAATATGTCCTTTTAGATGCCTCTCCATAAGTCTTAAATCATGGGTGGCTACATAAAGAAAACTTCTAACGCATCTTTGTATGTAAATGATTTTTGAACTTTCAAAGGTTCGTCTAAGAATGAGTGCCTTTTATTACCAATATTAGCTCTCATGCCAGTGTTTAAAAAACAAAAAAGGCAAACCTAATTAGATTTTGAAAATTTGCAAAAGAAACTATTAAAAAAAGTAAAAAGAAAGAAAGAAAGAAAGGGAGGAGATCTCTGCGCCAAATCCACAAAGGCTTAGCTGACAAGGCGCTCATATAAAGCTTTGTTATGATAAAAGGACCTTCAAGAATTTGCATGTCACTGTTATCACTGGTATGTGGCTCCCAGATTCAAATTTGCTGATACAATTATTTGAAGCTACATGCTATGCGGGAATACTACCCACGGATAATAGTATGGTCGAGATTGGTTCATGGATTTGAGCTCCTAATTATAATTTACACTTTGTAATTTAATTTATCTTGAGTATATAAGTGATATGTATGAAAAATTAATCAAACTGCTTTTTCTTTTTTGGCTTTGCAGGATTTATATGGAAGGCCATTCATGTCATTTGGAAACGTTCGCCACCTTGAAATGCATGTCAAGCGAGGTTTTTTTATTGATAACAAAGATGATGATGCTCTGAGTACTTTCTTGCAAAGAATATCAAATTTAGAAACTCTTGTTATTGTCAGCGATCCTTTGTCTGATTTTAACCCTAACTAACACCATTAATTTTAAATAATTATTTTTTATATTAATCATTATTATTTTTAAAAATTAAACTTAATAAGTTAACATTTGAGGATATTTTTTTAATATTTAAAAGTTTAATATAAATTTTTTTGTGATAAAACTAACAATATTAAGATTAAAGTATTGAAATTACACTTTATAAAATTAACGATTGAAATAAAACCTTGTGTAAAGCTAAATAATTCAAGGTATACTTTAGCCAGAATAAAATTATGAGGACAAAAGTTATTTCTTAAAACTTAGACTAATGTTTTAAATTACTAAAAATATAGGAATTGGATTGCATCAGTCAAAATTCAAGAATTAAATTGTAAGGACTAAGTTGCAATCAACTCAAATTATGAGAACTAAGTTGTGTAATATCACCTAATTATACCACTAACACAACCATATTAGCCAAGCATTATCAAAAT